AGAAGGAAAGAATGGGAGGAATAAGGGAGGGGTAGAGAAATAGGGAAGTGGGAGTAGAAGTAAGGAAGGTGGAGTAGAAGTAATGAAGGGGGAGTAGAAGGGAGGAAGGGGAGTAGAAGTAAGGAAAGGGAACGAGAAGTAAGGAAGGGGGGGGGTAGAAGTGAGGAATGGGAAGTAGGAGTAAGGAGGGGCGAAGAGAAGTATTAAGGAAGGGGGAGTAGATACAAAATACATTATTTATTTCTATTTAAGATCAACGTTAAACGGTAGGCAATTCCAATATCATGTATTGATTGATTTATTATATGTTTATTCTCTTAAAACTTAATGTTTAAAAGATAAGCTTCTAATAAAAATAACAGGGTTAGATACTAGCTCTCTAATGGGGAGTTGGTTCTCTAAGTCTCCGAGTTGGACCAAGTTCATTAAAGTAAATCCACCAGAAGTGAGAACTTTAGAATTGGATACCTTTATCTAAGTTAGTTGATACATTCCAGAGCTGGGACTTTAGAATGGTGGATATCGAGATCAATGCTTGATCCTCTCTTTTTCTTAGTCTCGAGACTAGCCTAATCTTGGGCTTGTATCTGAGCTCTGAGCTGGGAACTTTAGAATGGGATACCTTTAATCCCGACTTCTTAATCCGAATATCCACTGTAGACACTTTTAATTTCTTGCTCAATCCACTTTTTTTGGATAGAGAACAGAACTATCAAAAACCGGTTTTTCAAAATTAGAGAGTCCCACCCGAATTTCTGCAAATTATAATCTTAAATGGCGCGAAAAATTTCAAATTTCCCGGCTTCTGATACGCCACTCTGATTGGTTTAATTTTATACACTTTTCAGGATACAAGTACAAGATTAGGCTAGTCTCGAGATTAAGAAAAACAGAAGATCAACTTTTGATCTCGATATCCACCATTCTAAAGTTCCCAGCTCAGAACGAGCGAAGGTAATAAAACATTCTCAATTCTGATTATGAGCTTGCGAGGAAAGTTTAGACCGAAATAAAAGAATAACTATAAGAAGGAACCAATGATCCAATAGCGGTATATTACTAGCCAACTTTTTCTCAATCTTTTCAGAATTTGTTAATCCCTGCAGAGTTTTGTGTACATTGTACAATACATTGTTAAGAACTAGTAAATATTATTTACATTTAGATATTTCACATTCCTATCGTTTGCGTAAATATTATTTACAGTTAGATACAGGGTGTCCCGCGAAACATAACAGTTGGTGAATAGTTTTTAATGTTTTCTTCCATATGCTGTATTAGATATAAAAGACTTCTTGAAGTTTATTTCGTTAAAAAGTTTTTTAATAAAATTCGTTTTATTTAAAATCAATTTTACCATAATAGGACCGCTATAAAATATTTGTTTGTCATTCGCTATGTATCAAACAACTAAACAAATTATGGAAGAAGACATTTTAAACTATTCTCTTGTTTCGTGGGACACCTTGCATATTAAATTCCTACCGTCTGCATAAATATTATTTACATTTAGATAAATTACATTCCTACCGTCTGCATAAATATTATTTACATTTAAATAAATTACACTCCTACCGTATGCGTAAGTATTATTTACATTTAGATAAATTACATTCCTACCGTCTGCATAAATATTATTTACATTTAGATAAATTACACTCCTACCGTATGCGTAAATATTATTTACAGTTAGATAAATTACATTCCTACCCTCTGCGTAAATATTATTTACAGTTAGATAAATTACATTCCTACCGTCTGCATAAATATTATTTACATTTAGATAAATTACATTCCAACCGTCTGCATAAATATTATTTACATTTAGATAAATTACATTCCTACCGTCTGCGTAAATATTATTTACAGTTAAATAAATCACATTCCTACCGTCTGCGTAAATATTATTTACAGTTAAATAAATCACATTCCTACAGTCTGCGTAAATACTATTTACAGTTAAAAAAATCACATTCCTGCCGTCTGCGTAAATATTATTTACAGTGAGATAAATTACATTCCTACCGTCTGCGTAAATATTATTTACAGTTAGTTAAATTACATTCCTACCGTCTGCATAAATATTATTTACATTTAGATAAATTACATTCCAACCGTCTGCATAAATATTATTTACATTTAAATAAATTACATTCCTACCGTCTGCATAAATATTATTTACAGTTAAATAAATCACATTCCTACCGTCTGCGTAAATATTATTTACAGTTAAATAAATCACATTCCTACCGTCCGAGTAAATATTATTTACAGTTAGATAAATTACATTCCTACCTTCTGCGTAAATATTATTTACAGTTAGATAAATTACATTCCTACCGTCTGCGTAAATATTATTTACAGTTAGATAAATTACATTCCTCCCGTCTGCATAAAAATTTTCTAATTTTAATTATTTTATAAAAGTTCCCAGTTAAATATTTATTAAGAAGAGAAAATAAATTTCGACAAAGACGATATTTCACTTCATATCGGGTTAAAATATTTTCTTACCTAAACATCACGTAGGATAAATATATATATATAGTTAGCTGGATTCAACAGTTTTATTAAACAGCTAAAAACTTACCTAAAAATAATTTATATCATTATTTAAAGGAAATGTTTTAAATGATGTTTCTTTTCTTCGATGAAAAATTTCTTAAAATTGACGAAAATTAACTGAAACAGCAAAGTTTAACGAATGAATAAAACCTAACTATTTCAACAAAATCAAAACAGCTTCGTGCACGTAAATCTTTAGCTTTTTATACTTATGACTTGGAACAGAATAGAATTTAAACTCCGTATCGACAAATCATAAACAGAGACGAATTCAGGATTACCATATGACATAAACATCAAACATGCAAAACTAATCTGTAAGCATCCTGCCTGATAAGTTAAAACCATGCATCAGATAAAAATTAATAAATAAATGAAACCCGTGAACTTTATACGGGCACGGTAGATTCATTGACTTTAGTAATTTAAACTTTTCATTCAAAACGCATTCGCAAACAAAATATTATAAAAGAGAATAAAAGAAAAATGTATGTTTGATATAGGTCAATTTGGGATAGATAGTCACAAGGAGTAAGGACCGAACTGTTGAACCTTAACATCCCCCGATCCTATCTTATTTTTAAAGCATGCTAAATAAGGAATAAAATGAAATTAAGATAAAAAACAACAACACAATTATTTACAGCATGCACGCAGTTGACTTAATTTTGAGTTCAACATTTCACATCTGGTCCTTATATCAAATCTCTGCTTTTCTGAGTTCAAATCTGTACTGGCCTGTACTTCAAGTTTGTACCGTCCCCCAGATCAAATCTGAACCGTCCCCCAATTCATATCTGTACTCGACTGTAGTTCAAATCTCTACTGTTCATAGTTCAAATCTGAACCTTACCCCAGTTTAAATCTGAACAGTCCCCTAGGTCAAATCTCTACTGTTCCGGGTTCAAATATGATTTGTCCCCTAGTTCAAATCTGAACCTTCCCCTAGTTCAAATCTTTACCAATCACACCTTTTTTTTAGTCCAGCATTGTAACAATCTTTTTTAAAGTACTTTAAATTTAATATTCGAATTTTGAGCCACGTCATGTTGTTTATAATAGGTTAGACTATTTTATCCTACCTTTTTATTAAAAGACGAACATCTTTTGTTGGTACAGTAGACATGTAAATCTTTGTTTCACAACCCCTCAAGAAAATTAAAACCAATTTTTTTAAAATGTCAATTTTTAGTTGTAGATACTAAAAGTCTCAGCGCACTATCACCTGAAAGTTGCAGTTTAGGAGTAAAATAAGAAAACATCATTTGATGAAATATAGGTGTGGTCCGAACGAAAAGTAAGTGCTGTACACATATTTTCGTTCTTTGTGAAATTGGGCTTAAATATCTTTAAATTCTTTAAAACAATTTGCATTTAAAGCACAATTTAACCATATTAAAAACATGACGTTGCCTAAATTTGAAAAGGCATAAAATTTTACATTTGAAAACATAGAAGCAACACTCGGACGAAAAAAAGGTGTTGTCGGAAGACATATTGGCGAGTTTAACATTATTTGTGGTGCGGACAAAAAATTGGTGTGGTGAGCCTTCCCTCGCTCCCGACACAAATACTTCTTCAAAATACATGTTTGCAGCGATCAATATTTTTTATACTAAAATATGTATCAAATCTTATTTTTAAACTAAATGAATAGTGGTGAACTTTTCTTCATAAAATTGAAACAATGTTTTTTATTGAAAATATCAAATTGGGGAAGAGTTAGTGTTTTTTTTTTCAGTCAAATAAACTTTTTTACTTTTGATCTTGTCCCCATAGCTAAAGGTTGAGTGAAGGGTTAAAATCATTTCCCCAATCCTAACCAATAAGAGAGACATTGAATCTTTGCCACAAACTTAAATTTTCAATTCCCTACATCTATGAAACCTGATGGCTTAAACCTTTGCTATTTCAAACTTAGATTAATTTTGATATTTTAAACTAATTGATCTGACAAAATTCATAGTTTGAAATATCTAAAGTCAATATGACATTGGGTTTTGCAAAGATACAGGGATTATTAAATCAGAGTTTATGATTGAGACTCAACTCCTAATTGTAATTCAAAAGTATTGGAATCAATTTAATCCTTACCTTGGAGAGAGTAGATTAGAAACAACAAGAGTTGGAATATTTCTGTTCTCCTTGATCTGGTTTCCCCAGGGGGGGTCCAGAGGACCTGGATACACGTCAAACCCAGGTTTAGTTAACACAGATACTTCAGAGCTGGACTGATCATATCCCTCGGACTTTTTAATTATATTTCTAATTATATTTAACATTTTATCATTTTTAAAATCAGTTTTCTATTCGATAAATTTTTCTCAATAAATATAGATTTTGAGATTTGTGAAAATTTTTAGATTCAATTTAAGAATTCTACAAGTTTAAAGATTTAAAGATTTTTGAAAAGTAAAATTTAATGTCTGAATAAGAAAAGAATGGTTATTTTCAATTATTAAATATGAACTAAAAGAAATCCTGATAATTTAACTCATCCTTCCTTTCACCTCCTGACCATCAAACCAAAAACATTCAAATATTTATATTTAGATCTTGTCCTGTAATTAATGTTTGAGTGGTTTGTTATAGTTTACATTACAAAAATCCGGGAATCATTGTCTGTAAAATCTGGGAAACATTAAACGAAAATCGTTAAGCCCGACTGAACGTATATATTTTATACAATTCTCCAAAAAACATTTTTGGGTAAAAATGTTCATTTTTACAGTATATAACTAGTTTAAACACTTCAGATTCTGTTTAGTGAATTTATTTTTTGACAAAGTAAGCATTAAGAATACAGTTTTCAAATTTTACAAAACTTTATAGATTCAATTGTTGTGTCTTCGTATTGAGAGAATTCTGAGAAATAAAAAAGAAATGTTCGAGAAGTTTCTTATTTTTCTCTCTTTCCTCCCTCAACAAGTATTCAGTCATTCAGTTTTTTTTCAAAGGAAATTATAGAATATAATAAAAATAATATTACTTGAATAAAGTTAAGATTTTATTGTAAAAATTGTATAGGCAAAAACGTTTAAAAAAATGAATCGATTCTTTTTACATACTCCTTGTATCTTTGCAACACAATGTCGTAGACCTTAAATATTTCAAAGGATCAAATAATCTAAGTTCGAAAATTCAAAGGTTTTCACCATCATGAGCTGCAAATATACAGGGACTAGAAAATGTTTGTGTCAAAGACTCAATTGAATTTCATTGATTTACATTTTTTCCAAAAAGTATAGAATATATAAATTGTAAACGATTATTATAAATTAAATAATTTTAAACAATTAAAAAAGAACAATTTCTGTTAACGCTATTGTTCAGTAATGAATCTAAAAGTTTAAAGCTTTGTAAGATAAAAAAATAATTATCTACTTTTCCGGATAAACTTCAGATGATTTCTATTTGAAGATTATATTTCTTTGAAAAAGATTATGATTGTGGGATTACTTTCTACTATTAGTTATTAGTTTCAAAACCTATGTCGATAACATTGATTCAATAAGTTTGAATTTTATAAGCAGCATGTCCTATTTACCTACTGAATCCTATCTGAGCAACAGTGATGAAGTTATCAATAGTTTTTCTATTTAAAATTTTTAGTTTTTATTTGCGTTTTGTAGAGGAAGAAATCCCCAAACCAGGAATATGAAATCCACAAATCAGTAGTTTCGGATCCTGGAACCAGAGAAGACCTACTCATCTTCCTCTCCTTTAATATACTCGTTATGATAAATATTTAAAATTTGTTGGACTCAAAATTGATGAATTTTTGAATTGGGACTATCAAATTGAACATGTTTCCAATAAGATTGCTAGCTCAATTTTTGCTCTGAATCAGATTAAAAACATTTTACCGTTAAACATTCGTCTACTAGTCTATAATGCACTTGTAAGGCCACATATTGAGTATGGAATTATAACATGGGGGGGCGTAAAAAATGCTAAACTACAGAAAATCAAGTCTCTGCAAAAAAGAGCAATTAGAGCAGTAAATAATAGTTCATTTAAGGCACATTTAGATCCAATTTTTTTCAGATTAGAACTCCTAAATCTTGATGATAAATATAAACTAGGTGTTCTATCTTTTATGCATAAGTACTTTTATAAAAACCTTCCAACTTCCTTCCATGATATGTTTGATTCTTTTGCTGAACCAAATAGAACAAAATCATATAAACTTGAACGGGTTCTCTTTAAACCCCTAGAATGTTTTCCCTCTGCTTTATTTCCAAAAATATGGAATTCGATTGAATTAGAGCTGAAAGAAACTAAATCTGCAAAATCGTTTAAAAGAAAAGTCGCCAAGATCTATTTAGATAGTTATGCAAATTATATCTGTAAATAAAACTGTGAATCATGTGGATAAACTTAGTGTTTACTATCTTCTTCACCCTGTATTTCATAAACATGATTCTAATAACTTATGTTACCCTCTGTTCCAACCCTTACGCTGAGTATCCTCCCTTTCCCTTATAATCCCTCACCTCCCCCTTACATTTTTCCTGATTTATCATCATTCATACTTATGTTTAAAATGTACAATGTACATTGTTTTTATCAACAATTCTCATTCGTTTATAGTGGGCCAACCAATTAAAACAACCTACTCTGGTTAGACGGGTCCAAACTACATAGTAAATTGTGATTTTTTTATTTGTATTATCTCGTGCTTTGTAGTTGAATAAAAATATGAAAAAATATGAAGTTTATCATGTATTTAAATCTAGAAGCAACAAATGTACTTCTAAAGTTTACTCTTTTAAAGCACGACTTACAAATTTATGCTCTACAGAAACCATGCATAAACTTGATAGAATTAAGCCCTTTTCAAGCTTGGAATCTCTTCCACATTATTGATTAGATCAATGTTTTGATGGTACCGTTGTGAATCGGACATGTCCCTATTTCTTTTTCATAATTAAAGGTCACTTGAAATCAGTCACAACAACAGTTGCTGAATCGAATTTCATTCAGTTGGAAGACTTTCTTACAGTTTGAAGAATTTCATTCAGTTTAAAGAATTTCGTACAGTTTGAAGATTTTCTTACAGTTTGAAGAATTTCTTACAGTTTGAAGAATTTCTTACAGTAAGAAGAATTTCATTCAGTTTGAAGAATTTCTTACAGTAAGAAGAATTTCATTCAGTTTGAAGAATTTCTTACAGTTTGAAGAATTTCATTCAGTTTGAAGAATTTCGTACAGTTTTAAGAATTTCTTACAGTTTGAAGAACTATTCTCTTTTCTAAGGATTTCTAAAGAAATGAGAAACCAGGATTTCTAAATCAACAATGCTTTCATTTCTTGGAATTCTTGTGTCAACAATAGCACTGAACCTTTAATGTTCATGCTGCTCTTGTCCTAGTAAGCTCCTTTCCATCGTCTAATAGCTTCCCCCATATCTGTGTTTACATTTGTATACAAAAATAGGCTGAATGAATAGGCTTGGTTTGTTTTATATTTCTCTCAGAAAATGTGGTACGCTTTATCTTGTAAAAAACAGATATAGATTTTTCTTTTAAGTATCTTCCTCGGAGGTGTCTTATGATTAATAATTAGGGTTTCCATTTTTCCGGAAAAAAAAATCCATTTTGGAAATGGAATGATCCGGAAATTTGTTGCGTAAACCGGAATTCCGGGATAATTCCGGTATAAATGGAAACCGGAAATTTTCCGGTTTACGTCATGTAAACGGGAAAAATTACCGTTTTACGGAATGGAAACCGTAAACTTTCCAGTTTCCATTTCGTAAACCGGAAAATTTCCATTCCGTTAACCGGAACTTAAAGAATTATTTCTTATTTTCTGGTGTTGTATTTACATATGTAAGACTTTAATGTAATTATGGTACCAATTGTTCCGGAAATTTCCGTTTTAAGAAAAAAAAATCGTTCCGGAAATCGTTCCGGAATTCCGGTTTTCCGGAACCTTTCCCATAATGTAAATGGAAAAAATTTCCGGATCATTTCCGTACGTAAACCGTAACCCGGAATTCCGGTGGAAACCCTATTAATAATGCGCAATGGACTTGTTTTATGTGGTTCAGTGTCAGATCTTTCCTTGGGATATCTAGACAGATAAAAAAATTTCTGTTTATGATAATAGAAGGACCGCAATATGATTTTGGGGGACATTTTCATCTTTTAAAATATACCAGGTAAACTTTTGACACCTTCTTTGATGTCCCAAATAATAATGCTGTTGTTAGGCTGTCAAATTTAGCTGTTAGGCTGCCAAATTTAGCTGTTAGGCTGCCAAATTTAGCTATCCGGCTGCCAAATTTATCTGTAAAGCTGTCATGTTTGTTTGACTCTTAACATTTTTTTTTGATTTGATCCTGGAATAAAATTCTTCTTATTTGCTCCTTCAGATCTAAAATCTTGGAACCAAGGAGAAGGACAGGAGCAGAACCTACACCTGGAACCAGGGTTGGCATAAAAAAAACCAGCCCAAAAAAACCAATAAAACCCAATATAAAAAAAAACCACCTGTAACAGGCTGTAAGTGGGCATTTTTGGGTTTCATTGTTTTTTTTTAATTTTTCTAATTTTAGAATTATAGTACAAAATAATTGCAGTATTCCTCCTACGAAGAAGGAAGGTGATATTATTGTATTTGAAGAGTATTTATATATGATTATAGCCATCACAACAACATTATTATTTTTCATAACTATAAAGTCTTATTATTCTGAGTTAGAATGAATTTTAGTAGGGGTCAATTACATTTAAATTGAAAAATCCAAGCCCAAAAAACCCAGTAAAAACCAATAAAACCCACTGGACTGGTTTTTTAAAAAAAAACGGTTTTTTTCCAACCCTGCCTGGAACCAGAAGGAGATATCTCTCCCCGGAGTCCAGGATCACTTTTTGGAGAAACTATTTTTAGCCCTCGTCTAGAGATATCCCGGAACCCTGATCGGTTCGGAGTCGGTATACTTAGTCGGTCCATTCTCACCAAACTCTTTTTCAAACTGATTTTAAACTGTGAGTGTAGAGCTGGGAAAGAGGAGGCTAGAGAATGATCATGAAACTTTTCAATCTTTTCTTCACATCTGCACAATAGAACCTTTTCCTGTCTAAAATGTGTACAGTGTAGAGTTTAATTTACAATACGCAGTACACCACATAGCATAGTTTACAGTGTACACTGTACAGTATGGTCAATTCAGTAAGGAGCGTATACAGCGGAGGGAGTGATATGGACTGAGCCTTGGCGGCTATGTGATTTCCAGAAGGGGGTTGCCCCTCTCGTTGGAGCCCCTACCCCTGTATACACCCCTGTACACAATACACAACAGAGTACAAGATTACGAAGACAAAGATACAATGTTTACAGGACGGATTTAGGTAACTAACCCGTCTACACTATAGCTGCTCCTGATCCCAGATCCAGGTTCAACTCCGCTCTCCAACCTGCTCTCACGACTGATAAATAGACAGGTTGAGAAAACTAGCTTTTCCGTCATGGTTTTCAAAATATTGATTTTTAAAACTGCATTTGTGCAAAAATCAAATTTCCAATTGTAAACTGGACAGATTCTTTATACAGGTTTTATTGTTAAGCGATTAAGAAAAATACTTTTAACATAAACTTTTTCACAGATTTTCAAAATATCTAAAAGATATGCATCAAAATATATTAAAGAAACCAATGAGTAATATAAATAGAACAAATACAAGTTCAGAGGCTAATTTTATATTCCAAATAAACATGGGAATTCAGAGCCGACTTAAAAATCGTCCTAAAAGTGTCAGAAAAAATCGCTACTATTTTTAATTTTTTAATAAGATTAAATCTTCTCTGGTGTACCATACACATGGAATTCATTTTCTAGGAGGTGAAACTCAAGATTCCATCGGGCCCCCAAGATACAAGGTAAGGGGGGAATCCGGAACTACCCCAATACCCCGCCCCCCACCGCCCTGCCTCGGTTTGATTGAATTTTGAAAAGTCTCCCTTTGAAAATATGTACCTGGATAAAGGGGAGGAGACGGGATCAAACCTTCTCTTTATCCAGAGATGTTTTCCGGACAGGTTCTAGACAAAAATATTTTTGAAATTATGAAAAAATATAAGAAAACTCTGGAATTAAAACGAGCCCTATCATCCGTCGGAGTTCTTTGACATATATCCTTTACCTTAGAAGGACTGATGAAAGAGCCGGAGAACTTGGAAGGAGAGAGTGCTGGAGAATGTGATCTGGGTTTAAGTAATGAACTCTCAACCTAAACAGATGATACAATGATACAAGGGTTGAGAATAGTTTTTTCCGTTTTTTAAACGTTCAGCTATTCGGCTTACGGGACACAAATCTGTGAAGTTGAACTTACTTTAAAGTTGTATACGCTAAATTAGGCAAAATGTTGATTTTGCGGAAACCGAAACAATTTTTTTTATCTTTTCCTAACATCTGGGAATTTCGGCTTTCAGGAGGCTTCACAAAAATTTGAGAAGTTTAACATATTTAAAAATTGTATGCTCATATGATATTTTAATTTTTCTACTCTATGCAAAATGTTGACTTCGACAAAAGTCGGCTTTTATAAGTCTGAACAGAAATCTGTAAGATTAACATACAGTGGTAGGCGATAACATCAATATAATGAAGACCAATTTTTAATTTACGTTTTAATTGTTAACAAGCTTTTTTAGAATTACAAGTTTACAAGTAATTAAAGAGAAACTTTGTAAATTGACAGCTTCTCTTTGTTTCCATGTTTTTGTGTATCCATTGGCCGAATTTAAAGAATTTGAGCGGCGGTTTAAATTTAAGCTGCGGTTTAAATATGGTTGGTTCCACTTAAAATTGTATCAAATGTTTCAAGATTTAAGCCGGCGCTTAATTTAAACCGGATTTTGGCGGATTTAAACCGCGGCTCAAATTCTTTAAATTCCATCTCATGCTGTTGAAAAGCTTGACATAAATTAAAATTTAAATCGAAAGTCGCCTTCATTATGTTTATATAACCGCCTACTTACATTACCGTATTACAAAATTGTATTCACTGATAAAAGTTTGCTATTTATAAACTATGTAAAATGTTGAACTAACGAAACTTAAATATTTCAGAGACAAAAAAGATGGCAAACACTTATTGTGAATTATTATTTGTTAAACAAGTTCAAACACACTTTCAAATATGAATATTATTTTTTAATTATAAACCTTTGGTGAAAGTCTTCTTGATATTTTGTTGGGTTGCTGAGAGAGCTGGAGGCTTAAGGGAACCTTTCGATCCTATAGTTAAACTTTATTATTCACTAACTTGGAAACTAAACTTTCTATTTCAAATTCAACTCACTTAATTTAGTGTTTTTCAACATTCTCCAAAGTAAACCAATCAAAGTAAACCAATCAACGAAGAACAGAGTAAACCAATCAAAATTTGACGCAAATCGATTTATGAGTTATGATCGGCAAGGGGTTGCGAGTTATGATCAGACATACAAACAAACAAACAGAGATTACTTTACTGATTTATATACAGGGTGTCACACGAAACTTGACAATTGGCGAATAGTTTAAATTGTGTTTTTCTATGACTTTTAAGTTGTTTGATATCTAAGAGAATAATTATATATAATTATATGGCAGTCATTTATAGTAAAATTGATATCAAAGTAAAATGTATATAACTAATTATTTTGTTACCAAAATAAACTGCAAAAAGTCTCTAATTTCTAATACAGATAATGGAAGAAAACATTAAAAACAATTCACCCACTGTCAGGTACACCCTGTATGCACAGTGTGAAATAATATGTAATACAGTGTGTCTAACTAAGAAATGTTTGATTTTTGGCGAAAGAAAAAAAACAGAAAAGTATAAAATCAGGTTGCAAAAATATTTGCATTATGATATTTGGGTGAGTGGAAAATACTCACTTTCTTTCCTCTCACATAAAAATGAGTAATAACTTTGTTACTTATTTTCACGTTGGAAGTTATGAATTGCGATTTTTTACGATAAAAATAGATAGATAAAATAGAATAGTTTTTCAAGTTTTTTTTTATACCTTAGCCTGACTCGTCTTCTGGGAGGAGCAGCTTGATATTTCCGAGATGGGAGACATGTTCTCAAAGTTCTTCATAAAGGTTGGAAAGTTCTGATTGGTTGAGGAGAACTCTGCACTTGATCTTCGAGAATCCGCCTAACAGTACACACAAATATAGTACATTAATAACCAGAAAACTCTGAAATAGAAGGATGACTTTTAGAATCAAGATATAACTTTTATATGAGTATTAGACACGGCAAATGTGCAGTGTAAACAATGTTTTCAGAGAATTGTTTATTTAAAATTTTTTTAAACGACGACAAAGTTTGACCCTGACAGAAAATAAATGCAAAAAACGAACAAAAAACGAGGCAAATCGGTCAAGCCGTTCATGAGTTATGATTGGACATAGTTAGAGACAAAGAGAAACTCCTTCTTCATGTAACATAATTAAATGTTGACCAATTACCTCCATTGAGCTGAAAACACTGGATCTATCAATACTAACAGGTTTACTCTCAGATCCGTAGTCTAGAAGATACGCGGAGCTGGCACTGGAATTACTCCGGGATGAGTTCTTGAATGAATAAGAGCTTGAGCACTGACCACTAGATATTCGAGACTCCTACAACATTCATTATGTTTAAATATCTAGAAGAAAATTCTGGAAATTTGATCAATCTTCAATTGGAAAAAATTCTTTAAAATTAGACAAAAAAGTTGTCAAAAGAAATTTTATTTTTAACTTTTAATTTTAGAAATGGCGCTTTTTAAACTTTTAAAATTTTTAAATATTTTCAAGTATCTCCACTAACAATGTCTTTTCTAAGTAAATCTAACAAATTTTCAAAAAATGACACCATGTTATTTCTTTTAATATTTTTTTCTTCTGATTACAACAATTCTTTTAAAAACCAAAATTTTGTTCAAATCTGATTTTCGTAAACGCATAGTTTGCTAAGATTCCGCCAATACAATATTTGTATCTATATTTCTATGATTTTTGCATTTTTTTGATAGATGTTTTTTAGCAAAATTAAACGTGTTGCATCTTAGCCATTACAGTAAGCTAGGGAGGTTTGCCCAACGTAAATTTTATTTTCAGGTCCGAAATCAACATAGGACGCCAAAATGGTCGAAATCCGTGTACACAATGGGGCTGGAGGAAATTAAGACTTTCTGTTGCTTAAATCCAACTGTATAGAGAATTCCAGAATAATCAAAAATCCGCGTTCTTGGCATGCTCGTCGTCGTTATTTAAAGCCATAAACAAATAAAGATAATGAAATAAGAAGTCAAGTGTTGTTCAAGGGTTTACCATAATGTTTTAAACATTTTTCAAATCTCTTATCATGTTTGAAAACCCTATTTAATTCAAGATTTGATTTTTGGCGGAAAATTTTTTATTTCTTTTGCTCATTTTGTTTAATTACACCTTAAGGACATGTTTAAAAAAGTTAACGTAGAATGATAGCATATTTTAACATGATTTTTTTTTTCCCGTTTCCTCTGAAATTTCCATTTTTAACTTAAAATCCTGCTCACCTGAGCCTGCTTTTGACTGAAAACAATTCAAACTTCAAGATTAGATTAATGATCTGAAATCTATATCTGAGTCGAAAACAATTCAAACTTCAAGGTTAGATTAATGATCTGAAATCTTTAACTGATCCAAGAAGTAAAACTGAAAACATCCTAAACCGATGTTATAATTAGCCATAAGCGTTAAAAAATCAAATTTCTCTTCAAAAATATGATCTTGCATTTGGTGTAAACAGGGTTTCCAAAAACCTTCAGAGATTTAAAAAGTTTTGAAAACATTATCGTGAACCCCTCAATCCCCTCAATAATGCTTGAATTTGAATTTCAAGTTTTTAGTACCTTAAAGGCCTGGAATAATGAAATGCATACCAAAAACGAGGATGTTCGATAATTCTGGAATTTTCCAATAGTTAACAATTCTAAAATTAGATTTATTTCAAAAATACCTATAGGGGAATTTGGTTGTATAGCTCCTAAGTTTCGTAGGGACATGTAGTTTCAGAAAATAATAGTCGCCGGATTGGGTACAACAACAGTTTTGATTTCCTTCAGCCCCACTTTGTGTGTAGTACACTGTTCTGTGTACAGAATTTTGTTGGCCATAAGCTAAGAAATAAACAGATATTCATAACACTATGGCACTCTGCCCCTGCTAGCCCGAATAGTGTGAATACATATTATAAATTACCTGTGAAAAATGTCGGTTTGAAGATGAGATACTTTGTCGTTGTCCACTAGAAGACGAACTACTTCCCTCTTTGCCACTCCTAAACAAAAAACGGTTTAAAGGAATTGAGTTTAGATATTTCAAACTATGACTTCTGTTATATCAAACAATATAAGTTTGAAATATGATGATTTGACTATATTAGACATTTTTTCTTGACCTGTTTCTAAGTGACTATTTCCCTAGGATCATTTTGAAATTTTCCAATTGGAAATTTTATTCACGACTATTTCTAAAATGAGCAATTGGAAAAAAAGTCATTTGGAAAATGAGCGATTGGGAAAAAGTCACTTGGAAAATGAGCAATTGGTAAAAAACCACATTGAAATCGAGCAATTGTAAAAAAGCTGCTTTGAAAATGTAGAACTGTGAAAAAGCCACTAGGAAAATAAGCGATGGGGAAAAAGCCACTTGAAAATTTTTCCTATGGTATAGTTGTCATTTGAGAGTTTAGTACAAGATTACACAAAATGGTGAGACTGCAACGACGACATGAATCTCTAAGTACCACAATCTGGAAATACAATTTAGTCTTTTATCTTGAACTTTAAAGCCTTTCAATGGTACATAGAAAAGAATTTGGTTAAGAAGCAAACCGGTTTTAAACCACAGGAACTTAAGTAAAAAGATATTTTTAAAGTCTAATCCTGATCTCTGATACTGACACCCACCTTGCCAGATCCTGGATCCTTGGATCAGATTTCCATCCAACCACTTTCTCCTGAACACGGAAAATATATTTAAAATGCAATCATGAATCAATTAATAGAAAAAAAAACGATTTTTTGATTCCGTTTCTTCTGATCTTGAACAATATTTTGGTATGTGAACCTGGACCGTAAAAATTATTTCAAGTGACCCTTCATTTTAATAGAATTCACAACAGTACCATTAAAAGATTTGACTGATCAAGTATTGAATATTGATATCCATGTTTTTTTAACTGATTTTTTTCATTTGTGGGTTTTCTACAAAATGGACTTGCGCATTTCTTTTTCAAAAATAATGGAGTAATGATCAGAATAAAATACTTTTCAAGGTAAAAACTCCAAGTTTTCTTTCACATCATTGATCAGATTAATTGGTTTTAAACATAAAAGACAATTCTGCTTGACAATAAGTTTCTTCTTTAAATAATTCACATCGATTTCTACAAATGTTTTTGTAAGGGTTTGGTTTGTCAGAATTTGCACATTATTTTATGTATATCTAATGTTTTAGCTTGAGAAAGACCGTGGTTCGAACTTTCTCTTTCTCATCAACTTAAATTCTTAAAAGGAGTTTTAACATTTGTAACTTTGCGATTTTGTAGTTTGAAATTTTTTTTTTATTTCAGGACAAAAGTAGCAAAGAGTATTTGTAATTTAATTTATTTATAGGTATATCACATACAACTCTTGAGAGGCTCAATAATACAGTTCTTATTCAACATATTTAGATATTTTTTGGTGTCTGTGTTGATTAAAACTTACCGTGGAGTCGAAAACACTTAATGGGACAGACCGGCTATGTAAGGTTATAGTTTAACTGAGTATGCAGTGTTGTGGACAAATTCTTTAGGATTCATTTGAGACATATAAAACTTTTCCACGATGTATAATTAATGAGATTGAGTGCATAGTCGACGTTCAAAATCATGAATTTGGGTGGGTACGTTTTTTTTGGAAATTTATACAGTAAAGTAATTAGATGGTTAGGAACATATTTCTCCAAAGAAATTTGTCAATAAATCAATGCTAGAATCAATCATTTCGTTTTCATCATTATATCGATTTCTTATTATATTGAATTTATTATTTGAATTTATTCGCAGATTTCTACAAATTCCTCAAATGTTGTCTTTTCAATAATAATTCCAGAAAATCTTTAGAAAATCTTTGTGAATAATGAGGAAATAAAAATAGAATAGATAATTAAACAAGATTACTTATTTTTGATGACAAGATTAATTTTATTTTTTCAACCTGTTCCGAAACAACTAATTAGTTTACTGTAGAATTTTGTTTACATTTTTTGTCGTCATTTTTAATAAAAAAAAAATTCTGAAAACGTATCCACCCGAAAGTACGATTTTGAACGTCGACTTTGCACTCAAACTCAGGATTTACTGATCCATAAAAAGTTTTATATCTCTCAAATGAATCCTAAAGAATTTGTCCACAACACTGCATACTCAGTTCAGCTACCTTACATAGCCGGTCTGTCCCTTTAATTCTAAAATGAAACAAAATACATTGATCAGAGCAAATAAGAAATAAAATCGATTTTTCGAAATATTAATCAATTAATTAATCAGTTTTCTGAAAAGTAACGTTTGACCCATAAACAAGGTTTGGTACAATCTAAGATTGTCATATACAAGAAACTTTTGTAGTCAATTCTGTAATTAAGAAATACGAATATTTGTTTGATAAAGGTAAAAAAAGGGTTATTTTGTTTCGTCGCAATTACTTTAATCTTTTATATTTTCACAAGAATGTATTTAGCATATGTTCTGTCTCTAGAGTGAATATAAATAATTTATGAGATGACTGGTTAGGTTAGATGAAAATAACAAAAACAAACCTCTAGTTGTACAATGTATGTAAATCATTTTTTCTGCTTATTTGGTTTGATAACATTTATATTTAATGATTTTTGCCTAACACAACAAGCTTCTTTACCAGTGGTGCTACAACATTTGATAATCGACATTTGTCCTTTAAAATGGTATTCAGAGTTACAGGGTTACCCAAAAAGTATGAGACTTCAGAGACAACTGTACGAAGTTCATCCTGTTTTCATATACTCATGAATCCCGGCAACTGTAAACTTCTTCTTTCATTGTATAATCATTAAATAAAGACCACATTCAAGGCAGACGACTAAATTTAAAGTTGGGATCGTCATATTTAAAGTTGGGATCGTCATTTCTAAAGTTGGGATCGTCATGTTTAAAGAGTTCCAGGTCGTCTGACCAGTCTCATCCTGTAGTTTAGGCCTTGTGGGGCGTCTCAGGATATTAAAGGGGCCAGGGGAGCTGCAGTTACTAAAGCCTAGGAGCCCAAAGTGCTACGGCTAGAAGAGGTTGGGAGCTAGGTTGGGTTTGGTAAAGGATATTCAATTTTAAAGGAAAACTGTTCAAAAAGTATTTCTGCAAGAAAAGATAAATTGTATCATTATTCTTATAATTGAAGTTGCTAAGATGAGAATGCGGGAATTTATAATTTATAATAACGTTTTAGAAGATTACATTTTCTTGATATATATTGTTAGGAAGTTTACCTCGTCTTTATATATATTGTTAGGAAGTTTACATTGTCTTGATATATATTGTTAGGAAGATTACCAATTGTCTTGATATATATTGTTTAGAAGATTACCTTGTCTTGATATATATTGTTTGGAAGATTACCAATTGTCTTGATATATTGTTAGGAAGTTTACCTCGTCTTGATATATATTGTTAGGAAGCTTACCTAGTCTTGATATGTATTGTTAGGAAGTTTACCTTGTCTTAATATATGTTGTTAGGAAGTTTACATTGTCTTGATATATATTGTTGGGAAGTTTACATTGTCTTGATATATATTGTTAGGAAGACTACCTTGTATTTATATATATTGTTAGGAAGGATATAACGTTAGGAAGTTTACCTTGTCTTGATATATATTGTTGGGAAGGATATAACGTTAGGAAGTTTACCTTGTCTTGATATATTGTTAGGAAGTTTACCTACCTTGTCTTGTTATATTGTTAGAAAGTTATCTTGTATTTATATGTCGTTAGGAAGATTACCTTGTCTTTATATATATTGTTAGGAAGTTTACCTCGTCTTGATATATATTGTTAGGAAGTTTACATTGTCTTGATATATATTGTTTGGAAGATCACCAATTGTCTTGATATATATTGTTTAGAAGATTACCAATTGTCTTGATATATTGTTAGGAAGTTTACCTCGTCTTGATATATATTGTTAGGAAGTTTACCTCGTCTTGATATATATTGTTAGGAAGTTTACCTCGTCTTGATATATATTTATAGGAAGTTTACCTACCTTGTCTTGATATATATTGTTAGGAAGTTTACTTTGTCTTAATATATATTTTTAGGAAGTTTACCTTGTCTTGATATATTGTTAGGAAGTTTACCTCGTCTTGATATATATTGTTTGGAAGATTACCTTTTCTTGATATAATGCTAGGAAGTTTACCTTGTCTTGATATATATTGTTAGGAAGTTTACCTTGTCTTTATATATATTGTTAGGAAGATTACCTTGTCTTGATATATATATTGTGAGGAAGTTTACCTTGTCTTGATATATATTATTAGGAAGCTTACCTTGTCCTGATATATATTGTTAGGAAGATTACCTTGTCTTGATATATATTGTTAGGAAGTTTACCTTGTATTGATATTTATTGTTAGGAAGATTACCTTGTCTTGATATTTATTGTTAGGAAGTTTACCTCGTCTTGATATATATTGTTAGGAAGTTTACCTTGTCTTTATATATATTGTTAGGAAGATTACCTTGTCTTGATATATATATTGTGAGGAAGTTTACCTTGTATTGATATATATTGTTAGAAAGTATACCTCGTCTTGATATATATTGTTAGAAAGTTTACCTTGTCTTTATATATATTGTTAGGAAGATTACCTTGTCTTGATATATATTGTTAGGAAGATTACCTTGTCTTGATATATATATTGTGAGGAAGTTTATCTTGTCTAGATATATATTGTTAGGAAGTATACCTCGTCTTGATATATATTGTTAGGAAGTTTACCTTGTCTTGATATATATTGTTAGGAAGTATACCTCGTCTTGATATGTATTGTTAGGAAGAAATGCCTCTCCACTGGACCGACGAGAGTCCAACTCCAAATGACTAAAAAATTTATATTGAAACTTGAAGTTTTCAATACTTCAGGTTCTAAAGACGATTTCTGTGTGACGTCACGGCGTGAGATAATGAATATTTTACCCAGAACTGAAAACTCTTGCATTGGATACCCTTAATACCGATCGATAAATCTCGATATTCACTATAGACACTTTTGATTTATTTCTCTCTTTTAGGTATCCCTGCTGGGTTCCAACCAATTCATTGATTGCACGTAAAATTTTTTGGCTTCTGATTGGCTGTTCGGTTTCTGCAAACGACACTCTGATCGGTTTAATTTTGACACTTTCCTTTGTATCAATGTAAGATTTAATTAATCTGAAGATTAACAAAAAAGATGAGATTAAGGATTGATTTAGATACCCACAGTTCTAAAGTTTTCAGCTCAGGTAATATGGCTCTTTTTCATTATTGAAAGCCTTTTGTCTACAATATTAGTATAAAAAACATTGATAAGATACTTTTTAAATGTACGAAAATTGCTAAAGTTATCAAATGTCTGGATAAACGTGAAAACGTATAATATGTCGTCTTCCTCTCAAATTATTTTTAAAAAATATTTTTTAACCTTTCCGTCTTTTGTAAATAAACGATGATTATATTTATAATATTACAAGATCTATTTCAACATTTCTAAATTTGATGTATTAGACAAACCCGGCCGTAATTATCCCGGCCGTTACATTAGGTCACACCTGACACTTTTTAACGCCTCGCCGGGGGATAAACGTTTTATAAGGTTTATTTTAAGAAAGGAAACAAAATTAAAATTAAATTAAAAATAAGTTTTAAACGATAAAATAATGACAAAGTATTCATAACTTTTCGTTGAAGTAAGGGGGCGGAAAGTCTAAAATTAGCAGATTTTCATGAAAAATATAGATATTTATGTATAGCACATAATATTATGTAAGTATTTATTATCTATTTATTATTTAATATATATTGTACTATTTCTTTTGCTCTTATAAATCTTCATAAACATTCCTGAATTGTTATCTTACATCAACATTTTTTGTAAAACATTCATTTCAGTTAAAATGTTAAGTTTGCTTTTCTCTGTGAGGAAAAATAAAAAATAGGTGAGTTGAATTGTCTTAATTTCGCATTAAAATACTTGATACAGGGTTACCCAAAAAGAATGAGACTTCAGAGACGACTGTACGGAATATATCCTGGCTGCTTCCTTTTCCTTGTTTCTTTCTTTTTCAATAAATTAAATAAGCCATTAAAATACAACATTTAAGGCAGACGACGAGGATCGTAATATTTTAAGAGTTTGAAGTTTTTTCATCCTTTGTGGGTTCCTGTATTTCGAACATTGTTTTACCTTAAAGAAGTACTAGAATGCTTACTCAGCCTTCCACTATGTTTCTCTGAATAGGAGTAGTCCTGAAATATAGTTTTCATATCAAAAGAAAATAAATGTTTCATGGTTTAAAAAGCAAAGTGCTGTAAGATACTCATGTAGTACCTAGATACTACATATATTACCTGAATAGTACTCCTACTACCTAATTTTAGTACTCCTAATACCTGAAGACTACTCCTACTACTTTGCAGCCTGCAGCGCCTCAGAGGGCCTAACCTAACCTTTGGGAAGTTACCGCTTGGAAAGTTGCCACTTGGGAAATTTTCACTTGGGAAGTCGCCCTTGGGAAAATGCCTTTGGGAAAGTACCATAACACCTACCTGAATACTACTCGCTAGACTTTCGTTGGAGCTGAAGAGTTGTTGATTTTGTCCAAACCCTAAACCAGATTTCCTTCTCTCATACCTTAAACATATTGAAAAGTTTGGTTTGGTTAATCGTATTGTAAGGGTTTGGGCTGGGCAAACTTACTGTAAAGATTTGGTTTGGTCAAACAAATTTGGTTTGGTTAATCGAATTGTAAAGTTTAACCTATATATACATATATTGTAAATATTTAATATGTCTGAACAAATTGGAAAAGCTTTGATTTAAGAAGATAATTAATAACACTTTAAAAACATTTTTTCCCTTAGTTTAGAAAAAACAAAACTAAATAGGTTTATTAATAATAAATGATTTCTGAATATGACCAGCATCTAAGAGTGAAATTTAGAAAGGAATATAACATGTGGATGAAAAAAAAAACAAAAAAAAAACAAGAATTCTCATCCTGCATGTAATACAAAATACGATGACTATATCTCTACTTTGTGGTATTTGAAAGCTCCAAGCCCTCATGAATGAAAGTATAAGCATAATTTCAAGTGACCCCCCAATTCCATGCAAAAATGGCAATGCCAGATTCACAAGGATACCCTTAAAGGCTTTGATCAAGTATGAAATATTTATCAATTGTGGGTTCTCTACAAAAGTGGCTTGCATATTTCCACTGCAGTAAAACATATAGAAAATGTTAGAATTTAACACTTTTAAACCTATAAAAATGACAATATCCTCCATATTATTGATCAGATAAAGATTTTAAGGTTACTGTAGCATATCGGGCATTAACATCTTTGCAAGGAGGTCATTTTAAATTACGGTTACAGTCTCTCAAAAACCTTTTTTTTTGTGGTAATCATTGTACCTGCGGCGAGCATGACTGCTGAAAATATCAGGGTTTGATGTTGCTTTCTCTAACTGAGCAGCCTGGAATAGTTTGTTTAACAAGCACTGATGATCTACAATATTTAATCTCGAAATCCACCATGGCAACTTTTAAATTTGAGGGATAAGTGATTGATTCCTAAATTTTAATTTTCCCTGCAGGGTATCTCTCCACATGGGATATCCAAGAGGAATTAAATGGGATATCCAAGAGGAATTAAATGGGATATCCAAGAGGAATTAAATGGGATATACAACATGAATTATCTTAATCCTTAGGATTGCACACATAACTCCTTGATCCAAGGATTAACGCCATAAAAGGTTTGACCTCAGAAGGACGAGAATTAAGAATTTTTAATTAAATTTTAGAATTTCTAAAAACTCTACTTACTGAAAGAAAATCCTCTTTTGGTGAATGTTCTCTTGAAGTATCTGTAATCCTGATTCGGGGCGGAGAAATTGCCTGAACAACACAGATATTGGCAAAAAGACAGGAACGTCAAAATAATTTATTGATTTACGAACGTCAAAATCTGAATTATGAATAGGAAACAGTAATTGAACAAATATACTTATATTCATGTTCTACAGTGATAACCAGAAAACTCTGAAATAGGAAGACGAATTTACAGCAATAATTTTTTGCTTGATGTTGTTACATAGCAATTAGTTTTGCTAGACACTTACTAAATCACTAATTAAGTGAAATGGGCCTGTAAAGTGTTTACACAACATAATTGCTGTGTTCTATGCTCAGTGGAGTATTTATTTAAAGTCATAACTGGAGTCTAAAAGTCGTCATCCTATTCCAGAGTTTTCTGGTTATTAATGTAGTATGGTCGAGATTGCCCTTAGAAAAGTATTTCGACTGGCCATATATAGTTCAACTACTTCTACCTATTCATTAAGTCTATAACAAGATTGTACCACTCGACTCTTGTACCCACTTCAGAATTAATGAACAGAGTAACAATAATTAAACAATATTTTAGTCCTGGTCTAGTGGGGTCGAGATTGCCCTTAGAAAAGTATTTTGACTAGCGATAGATAGTTCAACTAGGTCTTGCTATTCATTAAGTCTAACCACTGCAGACAACAAAAATCGTATTTATGGTTATCATATTTCCAAAATTTGGTGAACCAACTTTATCTTAAAAATGACAGAAATTCTAATCGAAAATCAATTAAAAATTTTTCGTTATAACTGTAAAATTTTTTTTAAATCCCAGCATCAGTGGCATAGATTAATTAACAATAACAGATAGAACACTAGATATGGTCTTTTCAAGATTTAGGGGTTTTTCGTTCACAATAGCCCTGAGACAGAATCCCAAAGAAGTGTCCTATCTCTTATTGTTAATTAATCTATAGATCAGTGGTCATTCACCGTTATTTAAAACTTTAATATAAACAATGTATTATTAGGTTTTATATCTTAATAAATTGGGTCCCTTTTGTTCAGTCTTGAATTATTTGATGCAGGGTTTTTTTAACGTGAAACTCTTTAAAGAACTGTGTCAGCTTTTTATGCGTTTAATAAACAAATTAATCCTAATTTTCTAGAAGAAGACATTTCTCGAAAGATACGCATTTTATATCTACTCAATTGTTTCAATTTTATGGTTTGGTATAATTAGGTTGGATATCTTTCTGCAACTCATGGAGACAAAAACATATTTGAGAAATTATAATTTAAACCAATTCTTTTTTTAGTGATAAATTAAAACAAAATAAACCAAAATAAGCAATATTACTTTTGTTCCTTTCCCCTTGATATCTTTATTTGCAAAGTCTGTTTGATAGGATGTCTGTATCCAATGAACGTCAAAACTTTGTGGCAGCTGGGATGAGACCGGAGAAAACTTATGTACCATAAAGTTTGAAAAATCCTCCAAATTAAACCGAAAAGTCCATTTTTAGTGAAAAATAATGATAAAGGGCAACTTAAAGAGCAACAATTTAAAGCTAAAATTGTTAAAAGAAAAGCCTATTTGCATATTGTATAATAATATTCATGAGATAATTATGGTCGATTGTTTTTTTGCTTACCAGATAATGTACAGCTGATCTGGACTGGGGTTTCAGGGCAACGGATTTAGAAAAATATTTTTTGTGTCTCTTCTCATTCTTCCGAACATGAAGAGCCATGACAGCAACAGATGATCTCCGGGCACCAGCCTCCCAGGTCCAGGTTGACCGGCGCTCTAATTTATAATTCATTAATTGACTGATTGATTAAGTGAGTATAGAGCCGATTTCTAGGCAATTAGAGCAATTAGAGCCTTCGGTGTCCTAGTAAACATGGAAATTGAGAAGCGATTTTGATATCGTCTTTGTGAATGATTTTTTTATATAGTATATGGTGATACCTAAATAGGAAATATGATGATTTAAGAATTTGTTGTGCAGGGTGTCCCTTTAATATCTAATACTGTGTAAGGAAGACGACATTCCAAACTATTTACCAACTGGCATGTTTCGTGGGACACCCTGTACTAAATAAAATGAGAAATTAATTATTCTTCACTGTTTATCTTGCAGAAATGTTACAAGACGTCATATAACATTTTCCAGAATACAAAACAGTCTTTTACAGGTTACATAAAAATACTCTAGCAGACGTTTATTGGGACACCCTGTACATAGAAACTGTAATTTGGGCAAAACAGTGTTACAGTACCCAATTCAATCATTTCTACCGAGATTAACGAGCGAGGGGGGAAAGTTTGTCGTCATTTGATGATATTATGAAGAAGAGGGATTATAATTTAACTCCCTGCATTGCATCTTAATATCTGTTTTATATTTTATTTTATTTTATTTTTATTATTTATAGAATGCGATATTTTAAAGGAATATTTAAGGCATATTGAATTATATTTCTCAGAGGTCTAGGACGACATCTAAGAAGGGGTTTGTTGTTTACATTCTAGGACGGTTTTGGAGAAGGTTTTATTCTGTAGAACACTGTATCATATTTTGGGGGCCACTGTATCTTATATTGGGGCCAATGTTTCATATTTCTGGGCCACTGCATCATATTTTGGGGTCACTGTATCATATTTTAGTCTTTCCACAACCCCTTCAATATATATATACTCGTACTCAGACAATCCTGGATTAGTTCCGGGTCTGCTTTAATATCATTGAACTTTAGAGTTTAAAGTTCACCAAGATCATATTTTGGGGACCAATGTATTATATTTTGATAACCACTATAATATATTTTTGGGGTCACTGTGACTTATTCATGTGTCTTTTTCTGAGGGAAACTGAACCAATCATTTCTGGACTTGCAACCCTTTCATCAAATATCATGTTTTCTACCTTCTCTTCTCCTTGGTCTGGATCTTCTATTATTAGCTCTGCTCTGACCATACTCATACATCGTGTTCAACTCCAGGGATTCATTGATAGTGAAGGATAATTCAGAACTCCGTCTAGAGCTCCGAGAAGATCTAAAATCAGAAGAAAAAAGAATTAATTAATGAATTCGAATCATTATTGTAAAATCTGTCCACACATGATAAATACAGGGGTTACCCACAACAGATGAAACTGTAAAGACGATCTAAAAGTTTTAAAATATGACGATATCAAGGGGTTAAATTGTTACTTCTGCCTTAAATTTAGTATTTAAAAAGGCATGTTTAAGATTTCGAAAAGAAAAAACAACTTGACAGCTAGAGGGAATCAAGAATATTAGAACATCTATATATAAATGTACACTCGTCTCTGAAGTCTTATCCTTTGTGGTTAACCCTGTATGTATATTGTTCCTATAACTTCAAAATAACGATCGTTTGTTAAAAAAGAACAGAATATTAGGAATATCTCACAATGTTTTAGTTAACTCAGCATTTAGACAAATTATTGAGATATTTCTTTTAACATTGAACGAACCCATTATGATTTAGGATGGAATAACATGGAGCAGGAATGGTTACGTGTTGCCTCATCATATGATTAGGTCATGCTTTGCCTTTTTAATTAAAAAATACTTGTCAGAATATTTTTGCATCATGATGGTGATATTTCTAACTTCAAATTGAGAATTGTTTATTTAACGGAACTCATAGTTTAAACATCTATAGTCTATGACATCGTGTTGCAAAGATTATAAAATTAGAGTTTGTGTCAAAGATTTAATTAATTTTTAAAGCCCTTATCTGCATTGCTAATCAAAAGAAATCATTAAGTCGAAAACTATCGGTTTACATTGGTAATCACTTTCCTTTTCATCAGTTTTCGTTTTCTTATTTTTATTTGTGGATTCATGAATTGAATTCGATAATAAATATTTTCCCTCATTTGTTTGGGATTTGGAGGAATCACAACAAATTAAAAAAATTGTTTATTTTATTTTTAAATATTTTTTGATCAGGATACATTTTTGAATCGAACAACAAACAGTGTATTGAAATGAAACCTCTAAATTGTTCTCCTTTGCTGAAAGCATGGTTAGTTCAGATTCCATAATTGTAAAAAATTTAATATTTTTAAAAGATATCGATTTCCCTTTTGTTCCTAATTTCTTCAGAATTAAAATTTAATAAGCTTCTTTTATTATATATTTTTGTTCATCCAAAAAATCAATTAAAATGTTAAACTACCTCCTAATCCATTATTTTAAAAAGTTTGATAATCCGAATGCGAAAAGGGGGAGCTGTTCCTTATTTTCAAAAGCCAGAGATTGAAATTGTTTAATATACCTGGATACTATAGATCTAGTTGTAGGGATCAGAGTATACCTAGATCCTATGGTAATAAGTACTTTCCCAAAGGCATTTTGCCAAGGGCAACTTCCCAAGTGACAACTTCCCAACGGTTAGGTTAGGCTCTCTGAGGCGCTAAAGGCTGCAATGGGGGCCGAGTGCTGCGGCCACATGGGAAAAATCCTTTGGGAAAGTACCTAACATCGATCCTTTAGATCTAGTTCAAGGGATCAGAGTATACCTNCTAGTTCAAGCGAACAGAGTATACCTGGATCCTATAGATCTAGTTCAAGCGATCAGAGTATACCTGGATCCTATAGATCTAGTTCAAGGGAACAGAGTATACCTGGATCCTATAGATCTAGTTTAAGGGAACAGAGTATACCTGGATCCTATAGATCTAGTTTAAGGGATCAGAGTATACCTGGATTCTATAGATCTAGTTCAAGGAAACAGAGTATACCTGGATCCTATAGATCTAGTTTAAGGCAACAGAGTATACCTGGATCCTATAGATCTAGGTCAAGGGATTATATTATACCTGGATACTATAGATCTAGTTCGTAGGATCAGATTATACCTGGATCCTATAGATTTAAGAACTCCTCTTCTTGTATCCGGAGGGTTCTGGATCTGGTCAAGTGTAAGCTCAGGATGAATATCTGCTGTTCGTCCTCTCTTCTGATTCTTCTCAAACAGTCTCCTAGCAGAGCAAGGAATTATATATTCAAGTAAATATTTATCATTAATTAGTGTAAATTACGGAAAAGCACTGATTTCCCATTATCCTGGACTAGATGCTAGAATTCTAGAATAGCTTAACTCGAGGTCAAAACTTCAAGTATGTTTAAAACGCGCTCAGTCAGTTCCCCTCTTACCCCTGTCTGCGCGGAGGTTTAATTCAAGTTGTTGTATAAATCAACCCCTTTCTTTGAATCATTTCCTGATAATCTTTTGGTGGATTACCCGGAAATTAATTTCAAATCCTTTAATCTGAGAGTTAACTATATGTGGCTCAGCTCCGTCCCAACCAAAAGTTTAAGCCTCAAAATATTTAAGATGATATTCCATATTAACAGAAAAAAATAGAAAATAAATGAAGTTTGACAAACCTTTTCTTCTTCATTTCCTTCCTTCCCTTTTCTTCTTCCTCTTGCGTTACTGAACAAATTTGTTGTAGAACTGTTTATGTTAATTATCAACTTTTTAGTATTTTAAACTTAAAAGTTAAAAAGTAAGAATAAACCGTAATAAATCCTGTATGATGCTGCTTATATTTTTTGAAGATTTTTGTTCAACAATTTTGAGAATTTATTTAAAATATAATCTTACTTTTATAAATGTTTATTATATTTGTAATTTATCATCAAACTCATTTAATTCCAAGAAAAATATTACAAGTCTTTGAATATAGTTTGAAAATTTGAAAAGATAAAATCATAAGAAAATTAAGTAAAATAATAATAAATATGTTTTTTTTTCTTCAAATTTCTCTTCATTTTATAAGGGGGCTACACACACTCAAAGTCTCTGCCACAAACTCAAATTTTCTAATCCCTATAACTTTGAAATCTGATGGTATAACATTTTAATATTTAGATTATTAAGTAAAACATAATTCATATATTGTAATATCTAAAGCAAACAAAATTGGGTTGCAAAGATTTAGGGATAAGAAAATCAGAGTTTGTGGCAAAAACTCAATCCTTTGATCAACCTTGCTCATGAGTTTGATCCTCTCCTAAATCTGTAGATCCACACTGCATATTTGTCCTGGAATAGGTTTAACTCGTCATAAATAGTGAGATAAATCTTGTAGACCAAGGATATTGAGTTAAATCTTCCAAACCAAGGATATTGAGTTAAATCTTCTAAATCAAGGAGATTGAGATAAATCTTCTAAGCCAAGGATATTGAGTTAAATCTTCTAAACTAGGAGGTTGAGTTAAATCTTCTAAACCAAGGATATTGAGTTAAATCCTCTAAACCAAGGATATTGAGTTAAATCTTCTATACTAAGGAGATTGAGTTAAATCTTCTAAACTAAGGAGATTTAGTTAAATCTGTCTAAACCAAGGATATTGATTTAAGTCATCCAAACCAAGGATATTGAGTAAATCTTCTAAACCAAGGATATTGAGTTAAATCTTCTAAACTAAGGATATTGAGATAAATCTTCTAAACCAAGAAGATTGAGTTAAATGATTGAGATGAATCTTCTAAACCAAGGAATTGAGTTAAATCTTCTAAACCAAGAATATTGAGATAAATTTTCTAAACCAAGGAATTGAGTTAAATCTTCTAAACCAAGAATATTGAGATAAATCTTCTTAACCATGAATATTGAGTTAGATCTTTTTGAACTAAGGATATTGAGTTAAGTCTTCTAAATGAAGAATATAGAGAAAAATCATCTAAACCAATTGTAAAATATGTTATATTAAATTAGTTATGTTTTTAAAATAAATCTTAATTTGATTTTCATCCAAAATATTTGTTGAATTGTTTATCTTTTACTCTTTAATTTTTACACACTGCCTCATTTTCCGTCCCGTCAATACTTCTTTCTGTAACTGCTGAAGTTTGTCCCATTAATATTATTTTACTTCATATTCTTTAATCCTTCCCCTCAGTTCGTACTTACTCCAATACCAATATACATTTTATACTCGATCACTCCTCTCCTTATCGCCTTTTCCTTACTGTTTCCCTTATTTACTTCCGTAATAATTTCTTCCGTCCCATCTATTCTCTGTTCCTACTTGAATGCCCCGTAATCACCAAATAATGTTTTTATCTACACTTTTATTTAATTCCTTATTTTCTTCTTCACTTTAGTACTTTTCATCTCTCTTTGCTCCCACTACAGTATTCCGATAAAGGTTGTAAAGGAAGGTTAGAAACTCTGGATGCACTTCCAGAGTGGAAAACGAAGAAAATCCCAATAACATTGGAAATTGCAGAACAATGTCGTCAATTATAATTAAACTTGAATAACGAGTAGTTTATTGTAAACCTCAATCAAATTATATAAATTTAACATATATATATAATATAAATATATAAATAATTTATTACATGTATATTAAACTTATTTTTAAGTAAACAATTAACAATAAACAAATGTACTCTACTAGTATACTCTACACTCTACACTCTACAGTATACGCCTTCGGTTCGTTATTACTTACACACTCTCTTTTGGTAAAGACACTCATACATGATGTTTCTGCCCCTGCATTGTCCCTCCATCTTCCGCTAATATTCAGTTACGTCATATGAGGATTTTTAATGGCAATTGTTATGAAGACGACATTTTTAGTACATTAGAGCGCATTCAGAGTATCTAATTTTTCAGTACAACCTTGATTCTGTTGCTTTTCCTTTTCTTGTTCATTACTTATCTTCTTCATACTTTAGTGTGCTTTTTATCCTCAACGAGCTTTTATACATTTTTTAATCCCTTGATCTGACTCTAAACTTCTCCATCCCGGTATAATATCTTATTTAGCTGACAAATTAAAATTTTAATTTAAACTTAAATTTGAATTATAAAACCGCTAGGTCTTTTCACCAGTCGCGCTTAAGGTATGGTTACAATGGAGAAAGCGAGTTATATTTCAGATAGTTCATTCTTGCAGCAACAGATTGTATATTTTACACTAGGATTACTAATTTAAGGATATCAGGATAAATTACAGACATACGTCCTCTAAATTCAATAAAGGTTAGAGAACTGAGAGAAGAGACACCTGGCCTCTTCTCAACCTTTCTCACTTGTCCTGGAGGATACAAGACCCGGAGAGGGATGAGGGTTTCTCCGGAGAATGGTTCGGAGACACGTATATCACCTGTTGCATTGTCTTCTTAATATTTAATATTAATATTTAAACTTTATAAGAGTTTATACTCTACACGGTACACTCTACACACTCAGCAGGAATATATTTAAAACTTTTAGGAAGAAAGATATTTTCTTTAGGACGGATTGGAAGAATAAGAATTGGGAAGACGGAGAAGGATAAATTGGGAAATGTGGATATAGTGGGAAGACTGAGAAGGATATATTGTGAAAATTGATATATTTGGGGAAATAAATATATTTGGAAAGATTAGAAGAATATATTAGGCAGAATGAAAGATGGATATATTGGGAAGAATGGATATATTGGGAAAGATGAAAATAATATATTGAGAAGAATTAGAAGGGTTTACTAAAAAGTACGAAAAGAATATATTGAGAAAAAAAGAAAAGAATATATTGAGAAGAAAGAGTAGAATATATTGAGAAAAAAGAGAAGAATATATTGAGAAAATGAGAAGAATATATTGAGGAGAAATAGAAGAATATATTGAGAAGAAAGAGAAGAATATATTGAGAAGAAAGAGAAGAATATATTGAGAAGAAAGAGAAGAATATATTGAGAAAAAAGAGAAGAATATATTGAGAGGAAAGAGAAGAATATATTGAGGAGAATGAAAAGAATATATTGAGGAGAATGAGAAGAATATATTGAGAAGAAAGAGAAGAATATATTGAGAAGAATGAGAAGGATATATTGAGAAGAAAGAGAAGAATATATTGAGAGGAATGAGAAGGATATATTGAGAAGAAAGAGAAGAATATATTGAGAGGAATGAGAAGGATATATTGAGAAGAAAGAGAAAAATATATTGAGAAGAAAGAGAAGAATATATTGAGAAGAAAGAGAAGAATATATTGAGGAGAATAAGAAGAATGAGATGAATATATTTTAAGGGGGAAATATGAGAAAAGAAAAAGGAGAAAGGCTTTCAAAGAATAGAAAAGAAAAAGATAAATATAAGAATCACCCATAGTAGAATAGAAAATGCTGATGCACGGAAGAAAAATAAAATTTCTAAACCCACAAAATGCGGGAAAATTAAATAGATATATTAAAGAGAAAATCTTGCTGAAAATTTTAACAATTCTTCAGGAACGAACTTCTCTAGAAAATATTTAGTGCATTTTCTTCAAATATTAATCAAAATTTTGTTTCTAAAGATTTTGTTTGAAAACTGGAAAATTAGGAATTTTCTCTCCCATTTACAAATTCGTAGATTATATCATCATAAAAATATATTTGTTACAGCGCAAGAAAGACGGTTATAAAATAAATAATATATTGTACACTTCTACCCTAGAGATGAACTCCGAAAGCTAGTCTGTAAGCCAACTCAACCATAATCTAAATTAAATTGAATTAAGATAATAACACAAAACTATTTTTTATTTACTTAAAGAAAGTTGTTCCAAACATAAGATTAGAGTAGCTCGTCTTTTAACTACGCGGCTTCAAATGATAAATGTTATGGGCTAAAATATTTTTGTTTTTGGTTAGAATTTATTAATTAAATTATATATGCTTAATTTTTTTTGAAATGTTGAAAATTGACTGATAATTTCCAGAAATCTAGATATTTGCCTAGTTCTCTATATTCAAGTTTTTTCTTCCAGATAACCAAGAAACAGGTTTAAAGGGACTGTAAACATAATTTAATTCGACCCTTTAGTTATAGTGTGGAATGTCCGATTCAAAACGGTACTTTAAACCTTGCTCTGATCAAGAATGAATGAGATATCCTCGATTTACAATGTGATATGTGATTATTTTAAAATATGGTTTCTGCATAAAATTTACATCTGAGACAACGGAGGAAATCGTTAGAATTTTTTATTTTTTCAAGGGGCGTAATCTTTCTCATTATTACTTAGATCTGACGGATGGTTTAAAAAGTATAGTTGTGAACCGGACATGCCATTCTAATATATTGAGGGAGACTTGAAACTCCGTCTACAGTCCCTTGAAATTGCAAATGGTGAACCTGCGGAGCAGAATCATATTTAAAATGGTGAACCTGCGGAGCAGAATCATGATAGCAGACGTAACACTCCCTAGGATGCGGAGCAAGGAAGAGACGTCCTGCAACCCAATATTCAAATATACGATCTTCACCTTTACCCAACCTTTGTTGAAACAACAAGCTCTGCAATAGAAGAAACCTAAGGTTATATACGGTGATAACAAAAAAATGTGGAATGGGAAGATGACATTAAAGCAATAATAAAGTACATTTGATGTTATTACATAACAAAAAACTTACTAGTAAGTTATTAAATCCCTTATTAAATAAAACGGGTCTGTTTACACTGCACAATTGCTGTGCCATATGTTCATTGTACTATTTAAAGACATAACTTGAGTCTAAAAGTCGACCTCATATTCTGGCTGTCACTGTATATACTATAGTTTGGAAACCCAGCTTTGCCTAGAAATTTAACTTTTTATATAAAGTTAACCCACTCAAATTAGAATTTTTAAACCATACAAGTAATATCAAATAAATAAAGAAAAAATACAATAAAAGATAAACCTGTTCTCTGACTCCAACCAAGCTCTTGTTAAACCAGGGACTGGAGTTAGAACTAGTTTTCATCAGATCATTAGAACTCAACGCAATTTGAAATCCACTGTAATAAATATAATTAGCGCATTTTTACCAAAATTGGCAGGTTGTTTTTTTATGCGTCTTTTGTACGTACAATATGTTATACCAGACAAATTTGGAGCTTTTTAAAAACAAAAACAAATGGTTTAAAATTATTTTACATATTTCTTTCAAATACATTTGCAAATAAACTAAAATCTTGCCTCAAACTCTAGTTTGATTCCTTGTATCTTTGCAACCTGATGGTGTAAACCTTTTTTATTTAAAATTTGATAATTAGATCCAGCAGAGTAAATTCTTTGAAATATCAATGGTCAACAACATTAGGTTGTAAAAATGAAAAGATTAGAAAATTAGAGTTTGAGGCAAAGGTTCAGTTTCTTTTGCTAACAAATTTTATGCTTTATCGTTACTTATAATTTGTGCTGCTCTGTATGTTTGGATGTGAGTGAAGTTTAATCCCATTTCAGATAAACACTTTCAAGTTTATATGCAATCTTAGAATAAAATAATACTTTTTTGAGATTTTCCGGATTTTTTTTTCTGAATTTCCATAAGTACAGGGTGTTCCACGATACATGACAATAGTAAGACGACTTGAAAGTCGTATTTGATCATGGAATTTATTAGAGACGTTCCGTCGTCAGCCTACTTTAACATGTATGATTCTTGAAATAATAATCACATAATTTTCCTAGTCCTGGCATTTCAAAAACGTGGTCTGCCTTTTTTCTGCTGTCAATATTACCAGTGATATTAAGAATTTTGTTAAATAAAAACAAAATTATCGAAATCTGAACGAAATTCTTAATATCTCGATTAGTATTGAAAACAGAAAAAAAGGCAGCTACCACATTTAGGAAATGTCAGGACTAAGGATATTTTGTGATATCTCTAGAATTTTATTTCTAAAATTAGGTTGACAAATAAATGCAGCAAATTATAAAAAAAAAATAAAAGATGACATTCAAGCTGTCTTGCTATACGGTCATGTTTCGTGGGAAACCCTGTCCTATAATCAAAGGTCAAGCTTAATTCAAAACCAGAAACTCAAGCTACTTGGTTCTCAAATACACAGATAAACGATACAGGAACTGCTTACTCGCCTGAAGCTCTAATGTTAGTACTCGATATCTTTGAAACCTGATGTCGTAAAAAAAAAAATTCAACTACTGAATTAATTAGATCAAATAGTTAATGTTAGAAATCTCAAAGGTGTAAAACGTCAGGTTAGAAAGATGCAGGGATTAGAAAATTTTAGATAAATGCAATTAATTAGTTTTTTTACCAAATATATAAATGTATATTTTTTATTCTAATTTTTAATATTTGCTCTATCTATCTATTTTCTCTTCTTGAATTATTAAACAATCACAACAAACAAAAATATAAAAGTCAAAGGAACTGAGTTTTTGCTGCAAACTCCAATTTTCTAATCCCCATAATTCTGCAACCGGATGGTGTAAACTTTTGATATTTAGAACTTAGATTATTTGATCTAACAGAATTCATATTTAGAATAAGTAAATTTGAGTTTGTGATAATAACGTAGTTCCTTTTTAACTTCTGACCGCCCATGAACCTTCCATGAGGCCATGTGAGGTTCAGCCGTTTCACTCTCCGCTAAAACCCACTATTTCTTGGATCAGAGCACTGCAGATCACTGCAGTATACAACGGAAGCTTAGTTTAGGGATTGTATACAAACGGACAGACAGGACAAATACACAAGTAAAGAATATATAAATACAAACCTGTGAATAATCTGACAAGCTGACTTGAAGTTATCTAGTATCTGGGTATGCCAGGGACCAGTCGGAGAATTGATCGGAGACAGATACACACCCTGAACACATCTTATTTTATCTCCGAACTGGAGAGACACTTTCCTATTTATCTCCGAACTGAAGAGACACTTCCCTTTTCATCTCCGAACCGTAGATATACATTCCTATATATCTCTGAACCGAAGAGATACATTTCTATTTATCTCCGAACTGTATAGATACACTTCTATTTATCTCCGAACCGGAGAGATACATTTCTATTTATCTCCGAACCGGGGAGATACATTTCTATTTATCTCCGAACCGGAAAGATACATTTCTATTTATCTCCATACCGGAGAGGTACATTTCTATTTATCTCCAAATCGGAGATATACATTCCTATTTATCTCCGAATCGTAGAGATACATTTTTATTTATCTCCGAACCGGAAAGATACATTTCTATTTATCTCCATACCGGAGAGATACATTTCTATTTATCTCCAAACCGGAGAGATACATTTCTATTTATCTCCAAACCGGAGAGATACATTTCTATTTATCTCCATACCGGAGAGATACATTTATATTTATCTCCAAACCGGAGAGATACATTTATATTATCTCCAAACCGGAGTGATACATTTATATTTATCTCCAAACAAGAGAAATACATTTCTATTAATCTCCGAACCGGAGAGATACATTTTTATTTATCTCCGAACCGGAGAGATACATTTATGTTTATCTCCGAACCGAACCGATAGAAAAATGAATATAAATAGAATTCCACTTATTTTGAAAATGTCAAAAAATAAATGTTGGAGGCGAATTGTTTTCGAGACCCAGTCCCAGGGGGCGGGGGGGGGAGGCTTTGAGAATTGAGAAGTATTTTTACGAGTGAGAAAATAGAATAAAGGGAATACTGCAACTCGATTGAAATAATTTTGTTCACCTTTGTATTAAACTTCTGTTTTCAATTTAATTCATCTTTAAATCTTTAAATTTTATCATGAGATTCTTGATGAATTTTTAAAGGAGGACAAGAATAGATTTTTTAAATTTTTAATTAATCTGAAATTTAAATAATAATCTTCCTTTTAGAAAACGCAAATCCGTATCTTTGAATATGCTGGAAACATCGAATAATGAGAAACCACAACAAATCTGCTGTCCTCCAATGAGAGATTAAGAAAATACGAGACAGCTGATTCCATCGTTCATATTGAGTTCAGGAGTAATCAAAAGTTCCGACCTGTGAACAATTTTTATAAATAAATATTCCCGACAACAGGGGCCGTCGTTGTTGATTTTTCGTAAATACTCTTTTTAGAAAAACATTTGATCGAAAAAACAAATTCAGTCATTTCAATATTGTATTATGATCTGCCAAAGTCCTCCTTTCAAGCTTCATAAAAGGGTTGTACCTCTCCAACATCTAGATGTAGATAATGAATGATTGTATTCTCAGGACTCACAGACAGCTGGTTCATTCTGTAGTGCATTACATCCTCCTCTCCTTTATTATTATTATTATTATTAGATAAATAGATAGATAGATAGATAATTAGATAATTAGATAATTAGATAAATAGATAAATAGATAGATAGATAGATAGAATGGGGTTTAGAACTTTCTAAAACTTGGATGAGGGCATTTTTAAACTGAGATCAGCTGAGAAATATGTCTAACCTGGGATTGATTGAAACTGATACTTCCATCTAGTGAGCCTGAAGGAGAATCAGTTGACGCATACTCGTAACTCATTGTTTTCTTGAGAACTATTCCTGATATCTGTTCTTCCTTCCTAACAGACAGTCCTGGGTTGAGTTTCTTGTGAGCAGAGCTGGACTCAAACAGTTTGTCTACGTCTAAAATCTCAGGGTTGGGTGGAAGAGTCAACCACTTGTTGCAGACTGAGGCTATACCGGTTTCTTCTAAACTCTCCAGGGTACTTAAAGCCTGATCTACGTAGAATGGATCAGGACGTACAACACCAACCGGAGACTGAGCACCTCCTCCAGTCTCAAGGATAACAGATAGAACCTGATATCCGAGACCTACTGTGAGCAGGAACGTTCTGGACTCCGGGTCTGGATTATGAGTTGAACCCGGCCATGACCTACTGGTTAGATATATCTCCGACCAACTGACTATCTGTTGAACTGGATGAAGTTTAGTTAAAGGAAGAATCTGATTGTATTTACTCCAGAGAAAAACGTCCACCATGTCATCCCGGCATAGATGAGAGGCAACTAAGAGACCCTGATGAAAGAGACAGGTTCCAAGAATATTGAATTCCCGCGGAGCATCATGGAAATCAGGAGAAAACTCTTGAAAGTCTCCAGACTCAAGTTGACTAAGAGTATCATCCACCTGGAACTTGACTTCTTCAGGTAGAATGAGGAGTTGAGGTGCTGGTAGATTCTCATCAAACCTGGCATGATGAGGAGACAGGACAGTTAATATATCTAGAACTGGTTTACCCATACAGCTTAGTTTCTGTATATTTACCAATAAATCAAGAAAGAGAATGGAGAACAGTTCATGAAGCTCGGTGTGATTCTTCGGAGAAAACGCTTTGTTCATAGTTTTATATTTAAGTCTGAGAACCCTAACAGTATCCCGGAGTACTTGACTAACTTCCTTTGCAGAGCACTTGGTTGCAGGTAGAGCCAGGATAAACAGATCCTCCCGCTCCTCGGCATATCCAACGTGGACCAGTTGATCTTCAACCAGTAAACTTGAGGTTACAGGCCTAAACAGGTTCAGGGATTCAGATAAAGGATTGTAAAAGAAATATAATGATTCGTTAATGCTCAGGTTTCAAATGGGATTTAAAAGATGCTCTAGAAAAATTAAAGCGGTGTTTTTAGAGAACAAAACTTAAAATAAGTTGAAAGGTAGAACATGACACACTGATGTTATAAAGGATTGTATTCTTAGAAAAATGGTTTAGCAATCAATACTATACCATTATAGGATTACAGTTATGAAGGGTTTTAAGTAGTAAAAGTGGTTTCATCATAATGTTAGATATAATTAAAACTAGTTTAAAAGTGTTAACAAACTGTTATTAAGGTTACCACTAGATTAACGTGTTTAATCCCCTCAGGTTACCACTATTTAATCACCTCAGGTTACCACTAGTTTAAAGGGGTTAATCCCCTCAGGTTACCACTAGTTTAAAGGGTTTAATCCCCTCAGGTTACCACTAGTTTGAAGGGTTTAATTTCCTCAGGTTACCACTAGTTTAAAGGGTTTAATCTCCTCAGGTTACCACTAGTATGAAGGGTTTAATCTCCTCAGGTTACCACTAGTTTAAAGGGTTTAATCTCCTCAGGTTACCACTAGTTTAAAGGGTTTAACAAACTGTTACAAATGTCTACCACTTAAGTTTAACGCGTTTAACCCACTGTGATAAAAAGGTCACGCACTAGCTTGAATAGTTTAACACAATGTTATAAAGGTCTATCACTAAATTAAATGATTTAACAGATTGTTATAAAAATTTACCACAAGTTTAAATGATTTAACACACTGTAACAAAGGTCTACAACTAGTTTACATAGTTTAACACACTGTTAAAAATGGCTACACTTAGTTTAAACGATTTAGCATCACTGTTAGGTATATTACTAGTTCAAATGATATAAGACACTGTTAAAAAGGTCTACCAATAGTTGAAATGATATAACACACTGATATAAAGGTATACTACTAGTTTGAAGGATATAACACACTGATACAAAGAGCTACAATTAGTTTAAAGGGTTTAACTCAATGTTATAAAGATCTACTACAAGTTTAAAGGGTTTGATCATGAAAATGTATTAACCTTGATCCCGTTATCTCTGGTAGAGCATGAGCCAAGGTTAAAAATAACCCCCGAATCTGAAATATCAACTCTTAATAAAACAAAACTCACTTGGCTCCATATTGTTGTTCGAAAAGTTGTTGAATAAATGTATTCTTGCATTTAAAATCTTATGTACAATAAAACACTTAAAAAGTATTCTACGAAGTAAAAAATGAAAATATTTCTAAATACATCAAATAGCTGAGTAAAATCGAAGAGCAGTTTTCTAATTTTTTAATCTAGCGCTTTTTCATATTTTACTGTAAAAAATTAATAAAAATGGTATAAACCATAAACCTGAACAAGTTTTGACACATTATGAGTAGGATACTGGTAGATAATATCCGCAAACTCAGGAGAGGATTCAGACAAGGATTGTCTAGAGAGATAGAGAACTATGTACGGGAGCTTACGGAGCATACTCTGGATATCACCCGGAGACGGACCCTGGAAAGGAGAAATGTAAACTGTTGCCGTAGATCTTTGATATTTCTAACAATGAATTCTACTCGATCAAATAGTCAAGTTTTGAAATATCAAAGTTCTATATAATCAAGATGCAAAGGAACTGATTCTTTGGTAAAAACTATGATTTTCTAATCCATATTTCTTTGCAACTTAATGTCATAGATCTTACATATTTCAAATTCTGTTGGATCAAATAATTTGAAATATCAAAGGTTTACTCCATCAAGAGGCAAAGATATTGGGAGTAAAACATTTGGCTCAATTCCTTTAAGGAATTAGAAGAATAGTTTATGAAGTATTAAGTTCCTATGTCAACAAAAACAAATTTTTTTAATTTTTAAAAAGAAAGAAAGTTCAAGAATTTCTTCGTTTCACAATACTTTGGAAAAGAAACATTGAATTGTAATACCAATGTCCAATACCCCTTTTAGTAATTCGTAAACAACACTCTTTTTTACTGTAACCCTAGAATAAAATTGATTGTATCAACCGGTCTTTCTGGCAGTTAGGTGGGGTAGAGTATATTATGAAACCAATATATAGTTCTAAACAAGTAATTATGATAGGAAACAAAGAGAAGATGAAACTCATCGGTTTTTACATATAGGATAGGTAAGAGAAGATAATAAATAAGTTATAGGATGAGAGCTTGTGAGTTCTTGTATCAGGATAGAGTAAAAGAAAGAACCAATGGCTTCTAGAATGAGAACCATCTGTTATTGTATCTAGGATAGAGTAGAAGAAAGAACTAATGAGTCTAGGATGGTAAAAGAACTAATGAGTCTAGGATGGGAAAAGAACTTATGAGTCTAGGATGGGAAAAGAACTAATGCGTTCTAGAAAAAGAAAAAGCTAATGAGTTCTAGAATGGGAAAAGAAATAATGTGTTCTAGGATGGGAAAAGAGTTAATGAGTTCTAGAATGGGAAAAGAAATAATGAGTTCTAGGATGAGAAAAGAACTGATGAGTTCTAGGATGGGAAAAGAAATAATGAGTTCTAGGATGGAAAAAGAGCTAACGAATTTTAGGATGAGAAACGTCCAATCTTGGATTTGGAGAACTGATGAGATCTAGAGAGAGAAACCAACCTGTCCTGTTACAATCTTGAGTATAGAAGGTGGAGTAAGGAGCTGATCGTCTTCTCCAAGGATCTGGGATATCGGAGCAGTTCTTTGAATAGTTAGTTTTATCTTGCATGAGGAGGTAAACCTTCTAAGCACGGAGTCTATGTTCTCCTTGTTCACCTTAAAATTGATCTTTACTCAGGGTTTCTAAGTTTATACTAGAGATACACTATACACTAAATAATATTTAATCATGAACACCAACATAAATTTTCGATGGAGGTTTTTTTTTCTTTAAAGAAAATAAATTCTAAATTTCTTAATTTTGGACATGGTAAATTTTTGAAATTATTCATTCAGTACCTGCAGACCATCTATAGACCGAATCCAGTCTCCTAACCGTAGCTTATCATTGAGTTTGATCGCAGGTGCTCCTGGTTTGAATCCAGCTATAATGAGACGGGATGAAGCGTAGGGTGTTGAGTCATTCATCGTTTCGATATCACCTAATAACAATAAGATGTAAATCTCTTGAATCACAGGATGAATGAATAAATGAAAAATGAAAAAATGAGATTGTACCTGGAATAATCCCCAGGTACTCCTGAAGCAGGTTGACCTGCATCCCTCTCTTCACATTCAGACGGATCTGAAGGTCAACTTGTTCCACAGGATTAGTTCCCTCGAAGAAGGATTCAAAAGTTTTGATTTGACCATAGGTGCTGCTGTCTCCATCACTAGATTCATTCTTAAACATGATAGACTTAGGTTTATTTTTATCCTTGAACCTGGATAATATTCATCCCTGAGCCTGGTTCATATTCATCCCTGAGCCTGGTTCATATTCATTCCTGAACCTGGTTCATATTCATACCTCAACGTCCTTCATATTCATCCCTAAACCTGGTTCATATTTATCCCTGAACCTTGTTTATATTCATTCCTAAACCTGGTTCATATTCATCCCTGAACCTGGTTTATATTCATCCCTGAACCTGGTTCATATTCATCCCTGAACCTGGTTCATATTCATCCCTGAACCTGGCTCATATTCATCCTTGTACCTTGTTTATATTCATCCCTGAACCTGGTTCATATTCATCCCTAAACCTGGTTCATATTCATCCCTGGATCTGGTTCATATTCATCCCTGAGCCTGGTTCATATTCATCACTGAACCTGGTTCATATTCATCCCTGAACCTGGTTCATATTCATCCCTGAACCTGGTTCATATTCATCCCTGAACCTGGTTCATATTCATCCCTGAACCTTGTTTATATTCATCCTTGAACCTGGTTTATATTTATCCCTGAACCTGGTTCATATTCATCCCTGAACCTGGTTCATATTCATCCCTGAACCTGGTTTATGTTCATCCTAATATTGGTTTGTATATTCTTTATAACTTCTCCTCCTGCAATGTAACCATGGATAATGATGAAATATAATACTTGAAATACACTTGTAACCTTTCTCCTCCAAACCCTGATTTGATTACACATCTTGAACCTTGAAATATAAATCTCCGAGAAATATATGAAGTATATAATGTTCAAGCAAATGCAAATATAAGTGGAACAAAATTTGAGCCGCGGCTTAAATTTAAACCGCGGCTCAAATTCTTTAAATCCGGCCTCTGGAATACTAATGTTCACCCTTGAGTATGTGCAAAGGGATATATTGAATATTAGTTGGGGCCCCCGGGGTTGCCCAGGTTTGTATTATTATCATGGTCACAGTTACTCCCTCCTTTACCCGGGCCGCGCTTGGTATTAAACATTTTTTATATTGAATTTATAATGTATGGTAAATATGCATGTATATTGAATGTATAATGTATGGTAAAAATGCATATATATTGAATGTATAATGAATGATAAATATGCATACATATTGAATGTATAATGTATGATAAATATGCATGTATATTGAATGTATAATGTATGATAAATATGCATGTTTATTGAATGTATAATGTATGATAAATATGCATGTATATTGAATGAAATTATGAATATTGAATCTATCCATTGATTGGATATGTAAATATGTGCGTTCTAATCCCTGAAAGGAATTGAGTCTTATGCCACAAATTCAAATTTTCTTATCCCTATTTCTTTGCAGCCTGTTGGATATTTCAAACTTTGATAATTTAATCTAACAAAATTCATGGTTAGAAATATCTAAGATCTACGACATTGGGTAGCAAAGATAAAATGATTTGGAAATCAGAGTTTGTGGCAAAGACTCAATTCCTGAGCAATTTTCCGATCGAGGTCAAGCGTTGTAAATTAGCAAAAGTGTTAACCCCCAATTACATAAGAACTTATCTTTCCCAAGACTGAATAATATATACAGTGCTACCCAAAACTGAATAATATATACAGTATACGGAAGAGACTATAATGTCGACCTTAAACTTTTGTATCCTGTCGATATAAAACCTTAATTGGTCTTAGGTCTTTAGTAAAGTCTTAGATGATTTACCAAATAATTTGGAAAAGAAAGCATTAACTGTAAATCTATCAATTTAAAATAAAATTTTGAATGAAATCAGTACAATCGTCGCATCCTTTATGTGTAACCCTGTGAACTTGGCATACCTGAACCTGAGATGCTAAGTTTTCTCTCTTTTCTCTTTTTCTCACCAATCTTGACAGTTTCCCAATCTTCTTTTTCTTCTTTTCTCTGAGAATAAAATGATATCTTTAAATATATGACGCGAAGTAATAGGTTGAAATTTGACGAGTTTTTAATGATAACACCTCGCATTGGACAGCTATGGAGAAGATCACATATGGGTTAAATAACTATATACTTGTAATATGTTATCAAATAACATTCTTATACTTGTGCCTAAAATCAAGACTAGAGGAGGTACGCGGTCAAAATGTCGTACCAGTAATGTCGCATTAATTTTGTCCTCTTTTTGGTTTGCAAAGTGTTTTCTGATTAGAATTAGTTTTGGAAACTATTTGTTTATAAACAAACTGAACAAAAGAAAATATTTTTATGTCATATTCTAGTTCACGCATTTTTTACTTTAATTCTAAACTTGAATATTCCTTTATCGCTGTTATCTTTGTGAAGCGTTCAGATATCCCCCCTATTACACAATTTGATATTATTTCTAACATATTTGCCGACTTTAAGTTTCTAATTAAAGATTAAATATGAGGACTCAGTTTTCTCTTGAATTCATTAATATCTTTGATGATAATGATGATAATGATGATAATGATGCCAATGTTGATAATAATGATGATGATGATAATGATGATAATGATAATTTCACCTTGTCTCCTCTGCTACAGGATAAAGTTGGTCCGTCCAACCTCCTCCTCCTCCTCCGACAGCACCTCCTCGACCTTCTACAAATCCTCCTCTAAGTACTCCCTCAACTCCTTCTCCTCCTCCTCCGCCTTCTCTTTCTTTATGATTAAAAGTATCCATTACTTTGAGCACTTCACGAAATTATGAACATATTACATGTTTTCTTATATTCATCAACAACTTGATAAAGGAAGTTACATGATAAATTCAGCTCTGAAAAGTGGTTTGGGATAACTCTCCGGTACGTTCTGTATAGTGTGGTTCGATGTAACTTCCATATGATTTCATTTGCATGACACTACTCCATGGTTGGTTCTTCTGGTTCTCCTGGTACGGCGCGGTTCACCTGTGCGCCTTACTACCGGCTATACCCCGATACCGAGGTAAAACCAACCGCACCCAGGTTGTAGATCCAATATCCCGGGGCAGGACGGAGATACCTTTCCTACCTGCCTTGCTGCCTTCATACCTCTATACCTGTTCAAGCAAGTTACACTTTACTAACCGCCCATAATACATACAGGCACTCACAGTATGGTTTAGTGTAAAGTTACTCCGTGAAATGAATTCATAAATACAAATCCTCTAATATTTGTTAACAACACGGAGCCGAGGTTCAGAGGTATTTATTGATTTTAATTCTTGTTTTTATCTCAAGGGTTCTCTAGTATTAAACTATAACAGATAAACATATTAAACACATGAAACAATAAATGCTTTGTAATAATTTAAATGAACGAACGAGTAAGTTCACGAAACATATTTGATCAAATAAAAGCATATTCGTCCTTGTTCATCTCAGACTCGACTGAATATCTTGTGGAAGGTTAAAAAATATGTTTTTAAAATAGGAAATTTTTCGGTGCTGTTTACAATTTGGATTTTTTAACGGTTTTCAAAATCTCCGATACTCTACGAATAATTTGCAGCGTAAAAGGAGAAGTTTCCTTTATTTTTCCATTTCTTTTCAATATTGAAGATAACAAACATCAAAATAGGATGAAAAATGTTAAAAACAATGGAAAAATATTTTTATTTCTGAAATTCAATATTTTTGATAGATTTGTACATAGAGACAAATCTTAAAAACAGTTAAAATGCGTAACCTGAACCTAAACCTTCAACCTGAATCCGAACGTGAACCTAAATCCAAACTTCAACCTGAATCCGAACGTGAACCTGAACCTAAACCTTCAACCTTAATCCGAACGTGAACCTGAACCTAAACCTTAACCTAATCCGAACGTGAACCTGAACCTAAACCTTCAACCTGAATCCGAACGTGAACCTAAACCTAAACCCCAACTTCAACCTGAATCTGAACGTGAACGTGAACTTGAACCTAAATTCTAAATATAAAATAAAATCTGAACTTAAACCAGGCTTTTCCTGAACTTAAATCTAGATCTGAAACTGAAACTTTCCTTGGGCCTCAACATAAACTAAGATTTTAATCTGACTCTGATGTTTTTTCCTTAATAATTTTTTTCTTTTAAAGCTTCAGGTTGGTCTCCATTTCTAACCTTTATACGACCAAACCTATTATTTTTGGTTTTCATAATTGCGGAAAAGTATTTTGTGTAAAGAAGTTTCTTTCTAATTTATGCAAAAATGACCTTAACACAATTCTTGGCAGAAATTTATTTTCTATTGCAAATGATTGTTCTGTAAATCCTTCTGATCTTAGTAAAATGTTAGTTAAGAAACAAATGAAATATTTTGATGTCCCATTGGACCATGCATGGAAAGTTCCGATTTTACAAGAACTTTTAAATAAAAGAACGAATAATTATAACAATAAAAAATATTCTCTTAAAGCATCTAAATAAATCTTTAAAACATATTTTAGTGCAATAACGTGAAACATGCACTATTTTGGTTTCTCATTTTTCATACAGTAGATATTTAGGATCCAATTGGACATAAAACATTAAAACATATTTGCATGCAAATACTAGCTGATCGAATACAGTAGAATGTGTCTGTATTATATTGGAATATATGCCTACAACTGTGACAAGTTAAATGTTTAGCTAATCAGAAGTTAAAAAGAAAGAATGCAAAACACAAGTTCCTTTAATAGTAGGGTAGTCCTAGGGCAGAAGTACGTGGAGTCCCAAAAAAACATTAAGTATGTGTTTCTGAGATATGAGAATGAATCGGTAAAACTTTCCATCCGATGTTTCTGTAAAAAGTGATTGATATAAAACCGTTTCCCGAGGACTTCAAAAACCTGATATCTTCAATATCGAGCCTAAATTAAACTTGTGCTGTGATTATAATTAAGTAAAAACTGAACTGAATTGTTTTTTAAATTAAAAACACTTATTTTTCATTTCGATAAGAGTGTACGGTACCGAATCTAAATACTTATTAATCATTCCAGCATTTTTCGAACAATTGTAACTTGAGCCTTATAAAACAGTGGAATAGAAAGACACCATTGAAAAAAAAGTGTATTTTTACCAGTAGATTAAAAATAAACATATAGAGTGTCCCACGAAACATGACAGTTGGTGAATAGTTTAAAATGTCTTCTTCCATAATTTGTTAAGTTGTTAGATACCAAAGAGACAAATAAAAAATATTTTATGGCAGTCATATTGTGTTAAAATTGATTTCAAAGTAATTTATATTTGATTAATAAAAATGTTAAAAGAAATAAACTGGAAAATGAATGTAATGTCTAATAAAGTATATGGAAGAAGACATTTAAAAACTGTCCAACAACTGTCATGTTTCGTGGTTGTACAAATTGCTATTGCTTGGTTTCATGTTCATTGGACTATTCAAAATCATAACTTGAGTCTAAAAGTCGTCTTCCTATTCCACAGTTTCAGGCTGGATTTAAAAATTTATTTTTTATCAAATTTTCATTGCAGAATCGTCGAATTAAATTAAATTTTTATTAAATGTATAATTATCTTAACGAATGAATGCCTCGTAGATGAATGACGAATTTTCAGTACTCACTTAATTCATATGTGTTTGGGGATTTTCCGTCCCGGCAATCTGCATATCTCTTTATAGCGGAGGTTCTATCTGACTTACCTAGAAAATATCAGAAACTATAATAAATGTCGTATTCAATTCTCCATTTTTTGGTTTTGATGAAAAATCCAAGTTCCGACCTGTTTAAAAATGTCTAGTTTGATGTTAATTCATGTAAATCTAAACATATCTGACAACCCTCCTAAAAAACAGTCAACCTGACACAAAGTCTTGAATATACCAGTTCAAGCTACATTTTCTTATCACAGACCATAGATTAATTCTTTGTCACAGTCAAATTTTATTTAGTTTTGAAACTAAACCACAACATAATATTTTTTGACCAATAAGAGACATTGGGATTCCAACAATAGATTTGTTTTCGAACGGGGAATTCCCCTTTCTGGAATTCAGACAGCTGCAGGTTCCTCATGATCCTTAATATACAGGGTGTTCCAATAAACATGAATAGCGTCTTTGATCCGATAATTGATAAATGACATAAAGTGCATCAAAAAAAAGATGGAACGTTTAATACGTTCGCTTTCCAAAACGTGTTCTACCTTCTTTGTATCTTAAAATTGAACATTTGAACATTGGAATCTGAACAAAGGAATTGAGTCTTTCCCACAAACTCAAATTTTCTAATCCTTATATCTTTGCCATCTGATAGTGTAAACCTTTGATATTTCAAACTTTCCATTGTCAATTTTGAAGGTGAAAAAATGGTAGACCACATGTTGGAAATCCAGAAGACTACTAGTTTTAACGGTGTTAAATGTTTCAACTGTGATACTACAAAATTATATTTACGAAATAATCCCTCTTCGAACAAAGATGATATAGAAGTCGTCATTTAGTTCCCATGTTTATAGGGACACCGTTTAGCGGATATATGGTTCTTTTAGCATACTCTTGGATATTCTCAAACCACTCCTTTTTACATTCTTCAAGCCAGAGCTTGGAACTTTTGAACTGACGGAGTTGGCAAAACTCACTCTGTTCTCGTCGGGCACCCCACTCTAAAAGTTGCATGATTCTAGCCGGTACAACATGAACTGTATTGCATTTAGTCGTACTGTCCAGTCAGACTACCCACTGAGGAGTCGGACAAGCACGTGTTCTGCAAGAAATGTAGCCTGGCAAGTGCGGGATAATTGTTTAAATCCACGAAGTTTGAACTAAACTAGCTGAACCCTCCTCTGATTGGTTGAACTAAACTAGCTGAACCCTCCTCTGATTGGTTGGACTAAACTAGCTGAACCCTCCTCTGATTGGTTGAACTATAAACTAGCTGAACCCTCCTCTGATTGGTTGGACTAAACTAGCTGAACCCTCCTCTGATTAGTTGAACTAAACTAGCTGAACCCTCCTCTGATTGGTTGAACTAAACTAGCTGAACCCTCCTCTGATTGGTTGAACTATAAACTAGCTGAACCCTCCTCTGATTGGTTGGACTAAACTAGCTGAACCCTCCTCTGATTAGTTGAACTAAACTAGCTGAACCCTCCTCTGATTGGTTGAACTAAACTAGCTGAACCCTTCTCTGAATGGTTGAACTAAACTAGCTGAACCCTCCTCTGATTGGTTGAATCTCTGTTGGTTGAATCTCTGTTGGTTAGACCCATGAGTAAATCTCTTCTTGAGAAATAATGAAGAGTTTCACCAAATTTGTTCCATTTTTAAGTTTCCAGCTCCGGCCAATTAATGTGATGATAAATTGTGTGTTTTATATCATGATTTTAAGATTTTTATATCCGGTCGGATAAACTTTTGAAAAATGCACAATTAAACATTCCGAAATTAGATATAAAGTATAGATATAGGGTTATGTTTAAAGGAAAATACTTCAAAGACGACTGTACGCAATTTATTCAATATTTTCTCTTACATTCAAGGTTCTCTGCATCTGAAACCTTGTTCCGTGTTAGAATGAATCAGTTTGTTAAGCCTTAAAAGGCTAGTTAACAAAATGGGACCAATTATCAAATTCAAACTTTTGGCATTTTCAAAAAGTTTTTTGAAGTCCTTATAATCTTATCCTTAGAGGATCATATTGTCACAAGTTAAGAAATAAAAACTAAAAATCCTCTGAATATGAAGCAAATATTTATCTTTTGACGCCTAGAAAAATAAAAATGTTTTTTTTTTAAAATACATATTAGATTGAAGAGTTGAATCCTCAATGTCAAACAAGTCTCATTTATTTTATATTATTCCCAATTCCTTTAGTGTCTTTAATAAGTTTCTTTATTCAAGCTTCTTTGTATGCTATGTTTAGTTTTTGTTTGTGATTGCATTTAAATTAATATTTATAGACGCGTGCTTTTAAATATTCATTACATTTAAATACATTTCTCCCAACCCCCTGGAAACCTTAAGATGAATTTTATGCATTCTTTGATTAGATAAAGTATTCTTTTGATGCATTTACTAAACTCAACTCAAATTATGTAAATTTCTTTGGCCGGATACTCGAATATAAACAAACAACTACAACTAAAAAAATCATCTCGATTCGGGATATTTAAAAAAAAAATCCCCTTTAATTTATTTTATAAAAAGATAATTAAAAAGACAGATGAATTAAATATAGATGTCTGTTAACGTTACATCCTTCAATAAAAAAATATTCATTCTAAAATTGAAAATCATTTCAGTTTTAATATTTAATCTTTGAAAGGAAAAATAAAAGATAAAAATCATATTTTATATTAAAGCTAGGTAGATTAAATTTTGCAAATTTGCAAATTTATTTTCAGATTATTAAAGCAAAGCCCAAGGGCTTTCCGAAAATGTATCAAATATTATAGATTTGTATCACATTAGGGAAATAGAGGGGGGTCCCTGGGATCCCCCCCCCCCTAGACTATTTTGGGTAAACCAGACGTCAGCCTTAATAGGGTTAACAATTATTTCTAAATATTCTGATATATTTTAGGATTGAAAGGTTTGACTGAGTAGGAGATGAACTGGTTTATCTTCTAACCTCAAAACTGTAAAATATGGGGAAAAGGTGAATATTTCATAATTCTCAAAGTTTTCCATTATTTTTAAATTTTCTATCTCATGAAAATTTGAAAAAGAAAAATAAGTTACTCTGAAAAGAAGTTGAATAATGTCCAAACATTATAAATAATGAATGAACTAAAAATAAAAAATAAAAACTTCTTACTTTTGCTTGAGTACAATTTTGTAATAAGGGTTTTATGAATTCAGGGAGCTGCTGGTCCTGATACTGGTCTGTATCCTGGACTTTGTTATACCACAGAGACGGGTTATAGGAGATATCAGGGAGCAGAAGATCAGTCAGGTTGCAGGGATAGATGAGAGAGAAGAGAGGGTTTACAGACGACCTCCAACCTATCTAATCCTAGCTAGTAAAATCGTTCGACCGAGTACTATTTATCAGGTAAAGAGCAGGTGTACTNAGAGTGCTATATATTAGGTATATAACAAGAGTGCTATATATCAAGTATATAACATTAGTGCTATATATCAGGTATATAACAATATTACTATATATCAGGTGTATAACGAGAGTATTGAAGGAGTATAAAATTGAACACTATTCAACAAAAAATCACGAAACCTCTAAAACGTAAAAAATAGCATTAAATATAAATTTTTTTATTTGGCTTGGTTAAAACAATTTCAAGGCAATTGATTAAACCTATTGTAAATTGTAGGCCGATAAGGTTTTGTGATGTATTTTGTTAAGGTTTTCAAAAATTTAATTGGCCACGTGGGTACATTTTAGAAAATTACCAGAATAGATTGCATTGATAGTTTTATCGAATTCCTTTTGATATTTTGACTATATGTTTTTTGAATTAGTTGTAAATTTTCTCAGTTATATGATTTTTGACGTTTACAAATATTTTTCCTAGGATCAGATTTATTTTTTTTTTTTTATTCATTTAAAATTTACGATTCAGAAATAGCAGGGATCATTTCCATTAAAGTTGAAAATTCAATGTTTTAAAAAAGGGCATATCATCATTTAAAGTACAAAATATAATATTTGCAAAATCATCATTTCTTTAGAGTTTTAAAAACTTGTAACCCCACCGAGAGTAAGAATCAGTTTTCAATATCGAAATTGCAAACTTTCAAAGATTAAATGAACTTTTGTTTTGTTTATAAACTATTTATAGCAATGGGATACAGGTATGGTTGATGCTACCTAAATACATGGGATACAGGTATGGTTGATGCTACCTAAATACATGGGATACAGGTATGGTTGATGGAATCCCCGATAAAAATGGGAATTAAGGAACTTTTAGATCGTCTTTTATAATTTCCCAGGTTCCACAATCCTATTTTATCTAGAATTTAGAATTTTCTAATCTGAAAAACAATTAAACTGTCTGTTCAGGTTATCGTAAGTCTTCTAGAGGAATCCCCTCCATCAAGAGTTCGAGCTGCGCTATCCAGGGACGGAGTAGAGGTTTACGGAGACTATGTTAACATGCAACCTTTAGAGACAAGATCTATTTTACTCCAGGTAGGATGTTATATTGGGTTCTCTAGAGACAAGATCTATTTTACTCCAGGTAGGATGTTATATTGGGTTCTCTAGAGACAAGATCTATTTTACTACAGGTAGGATGTTATATTGGGTTCTCTAGAGACAAGGTCTATTCTACTCCAGGTAGGATGTTATATAGGGTTCTCTAGAGACAAGATCTATTCAACTCCAGGCAGTATATTATGTAGGGCTCTCTAGAGATAATATCTATTCTGCTCCATGTAGGCTGTTATATAGGGTACTCTATAAATATGGTCTATTCTATTCTAGAAACAGTATAATACTCCAGTTTATAATTTGTATCTTTTTTTTATGAATTTGAGACAAATTTTTTTCATCGAACGTTAAGTTATTAATTAGGTTACATGTAAGTTGAAAACCTTGATTTTGAACCAAGATTAATAACTTGTGTTTATTTTCAGGTTCCTCCTGGTAACAATGTTGACAGTGAGTACAGGCTCCGACTAGAGGGATCAGGTATCGGGGGAGGAGCAATTATATTTGAAAACGAGACTAAACTGGAGTTCTCCAGACAATTCCTCTCCATATCTATCTCCACTAACAAGGCTGTTTATGACGGGTTCCAAGATATCAGGTTAGTTGGAGAATGATGAAAATTTTACTTTTTGTCGCTTAATAGACGTATCAACATTTTCATGCTAAAATTCTCAAAGATTATTTCTCGCTTGACAATCAAAAATCATAATTTTAAATATAAAGAAAATCCTCTCCTAAAGTTCTTTTATTTTTACTCATCCCCCCCCCCCCACGTAGGTCGGGTAAGATTAAGATAGATACTAGCGAGAGGTTACTCTTTTTATCAAAATTGTCATGTTTTAACCAGCTCATATTGCAATTCTTACATGTGCAATTAACAAGTATCATGCAGTTTTCTTTGGTTTCAAAAAGCTATTTGATTTTAATAGTTTTTATATTTTGATTAATTTAACAAAAAAGAAAATATTCCAGGAATCTTGAAAATAGAAGGAGAATCTAATAATAATTTTTTAACTAGACTTTTGTTTGATAAGAAAGAAAAATTTACAAAATATTGAAAAATTTTAACATTTTAAAGAAACAAATTGTAGTTTTTTGTCTTTTTCATTGTTCGTGCCGTTTTACATTACAAGATATTTTTTCTCATCTAAGCACATTATTTTCTCATCGAAGAACATTATTTTTAAACTATTTTAATTTTTGATTTTTGTTTAGAGTTCGCGCAGTAATGTTGGACACCTCTTTGCAGCCCTATACTGAGATTGCAGATTTATTCATCATAGATCCGGATGGATTTGTAATCAGGTAATATCTTCTGTCTCTTTAAAATCTGGTTTTTTTAAACTCTGCTGTCTGCTAAAATTCTGCAGTTTCTTTAAACTCTGCTGTTTCTTTAAACTCTGCGGTATCCTTAAACTTTGCTGTTTTTTAACTTTGCTGTTTCTTTAAACTCTGTTGTCTCTTTAACTCTTCCTTCTCTTTGAACTCTGCTGTTTCTTTAAACTCTGTTGTCTCTTTAACTTTACCTTCTCTTTAAACTCTGCTGTTTCTCTATCTCTGTCTCCTATAACTCCGCTGTCTCTTAAGTTAAAATAAATTTAAATCTAGGAAATGGAATTCTAAACAAATCAATAATGGAGTTTTAACAGGAGTATTCTATTTACCAGAGTTTCCTAAGGTACTAACTATTTTTTACTATTAGTCATTATCTATTTTTATTTTTGGCAATTTTCATTCAATTTATTATATTTTCATTCAATTTACTATATTTTCATTCAATTTACTATATTTTCATTCAGCTAATCTGTTTTTATCCCGTTTTTAATTTCATTCATATTTGTTTTTATAATTAATTTCCTACTTTTAATTTCTATCAATCTATTTTGTATCAAAGTATTTGCATTTATTCATTATTGGTATCATATCCTTTATTGTGTTTTTGAAAATAAGTAAACTCAATCTTTTGTTTTCTTCTCAAATCCCTTCCTAACATGTTTTCAAGCTTAAACAAACAGATTTGTTTTTCTCCAGGTTGGGTTCTGGACTATACGTGTTGCAACTCAAGGACAAATTGAGGAGAAGAAGATCAAGGTTGAGAAGTACTATATGCCGATGTTTGAGGTGTTTGTCCGTATGCCAACCTTTGTGTTTGATACTGAGAATGTGATATCAGCTCAAGTATCGGCAGCGTACCTTTTCGAGAAAACTGCCAAGGGAACTGTTCATCTTCGATGGTACGCGAAGAAAATAGACGGTACAACACCGTTGTACAATGATACAGTACTGTACAGGAAAGAGTACACATACTACCATAACATTTCAAATACCTATAGGAATCAGTTGTTTAACAACCAGGACGGAATCCCAATAAAAAATTTGTCATTATTATCCAACCCTGAGAGATACGGATACCTGGACCCTTATGTTAACACAACTACTCAACCCATCCGTCCTCTCTTCCAGAACTGGACGTATATCTCCTCGGAGAGAAGGTCTTTCCATCAAAATTATGATTTGACAAGTGATCCCTTCTACCTACAGATGGCAGACATTGAACGGTTTATGGGAACCGTTCAGGGGATACAGATCCGGGCAGAAGCTTTTGTAACAGAATACTTTTATAATAATACTCAACGTGGGTTCTGTGAGAGCCGGATAATCAATCAGACCTTGAGCCTGCGGTTTGTTGGAAGCAGTCCTATGGTGTTTAAACCTGGAATGATGTTTCAAGGAACTGTTGCAGTGAGATATCACGACCAAGTTGCGCTCCCAGAGGAGGTTCTCAAGGATTCCGAGCTGGAGATCAGAATCCGAGCAAAGAAGAAGGATGGAAGTGTAGAGAATCTACCTGCTATCAAGGTACCGAGACAACTGACGGACGAATTCAATTCATTTGCTGATATTGATCGTCTCCAGCATTATGGACAGCTCTTTGGTTCCAGAGCTGCTCAAGACGTTGGTTCCAGCAATGGTATCAACCCAGCAGCATTTTTTACAGATGATGCTGAGAAAAATACAGAATTTCTCTTCCATGAACTCTATGCGAAGGAGAAGACCTATGAAGAATACCGAAAAACCGGAGTTCATAGATTCCATTTTGATGTTCCAGAACTGACTGAAGAATTGTACCTGAGTGCATATTACAGTGATTCCAAGAACTCTCGAGATACTTACACGGAGACTACAGCATACGGAGCATATGGTCCTAAGGACCGCCATATCCATGTCCGATCAAGCACCAGGAACATTGGCGTCGGACAATATATTGTCTTCCACGTAAAAAGTAACTTTCCTCTTCCATATTTTGACTGGATAATTGTGTCAAAGAACCTGATTATAAACTCTGGCCGAGAGTATGGTTCAGATATTCATCCAATAGTGAACACATTCAGCATTGTTGTTTCCTCGGAGATGGCTCCAGGTTTCCATATCATGGTCTACACTGTCACTAAACCGGACGATTATCTTCTCTCTGACTCCGCATACTTCCCAGTTCAGGCAATAAACCGTCACAAGATAGAGTTTAAGCTTACTCAGATAAAGGACCACTTGAAGGATACTGTAGAAGCAACCTGCAGGGGAGATCCTGGAGCAGTTTTTCTATCCTCCACGGTTCGATCAGCTGTATTTGCTACCCAGGGTATAAATACGATCACTAAAGCCTCTATTCTGGAGAGCTTACACTCCTTTGAGAATGTAAAGAAACATATTCATCGTGTTTTCTTCACAGACCGAGAAGGAAGCAACCCTGATCAAGTAACCTACTATCCTGCCATGGACTACGGAGTCGATACAAACAGAACTTTTGAACTCAATGAGATTTTGATTTTCACAGATTTTGTTTTCATTCCACAGCAACCTCTGACCAGACAGTGTAATAAAACCGCAGGATTTTTTCCCTGTCTCCATAAGGGTTGCTATACTGCGGATCAGATCTGTAATGGACAGAAAGATTGTGAGGACGGTTTGGACGAGAGTGACTGCGGAGATGCGTTTGAAGAGCAGAAGGAAGCAACATTAAGGTTCCGACTCTCCAGGGTTAATAGATACACTGACTTCTATGATGTTGGCACCGGAGAATGGGGTTGGTTTGATGTTAATATTGATGAGGATAGAGAACAGTTCTATACTCTAAATGTACCTCTAACAACAGACAGTTGGTACTTTAATGCGGTTAGTATCAGCAAACAGCACGGTATAGGTATCCTGGATGAGCCGATAGCATATGATTCCATCCGTCCAATTCATTTCTACTGTGAAGGTCCAAAAGAGGTACACAGAGGAGAATCTGTAGGACTTAGATGTATGATCATGAATAGATCTCCGTATGATCTGGAGTGTATTATTACCCTATTGGGTTCGGATGAATACGAGTTTATCCATGTTGAAAACTATGGTTACGTTGTGAGTTTTAACCCTCGGACAAGTAGAGGAGATCACCAGCATCTTGTGTTTGTGCGAGGACAGGATGAATTGGAAGTCCATCTCCCGATCAAACCTACTCCTGCGGGTGAACAAGGAGCTATCACTGCAAATATAAACCTTTCAACTCAGATCATGTCAAACACACAGAGTGTAACTATTGAGATTCTACCGGAGGGAAGTATAGTTCACAGGCATACATCTGTCCTGCTTGATCTCAAGAGCAGAGCTTTTGAACTTGAATACATGGATATTGTTGTTGACGAAACCCCGATTATTCCGTACGAGGTTTACCGAAGATATATTTTCGGAAGCGCTTTTGGAAAGATCTCTGTGAGTGGAGATGTTATCGGTCCAACCTTCATGAATGGAGAACCAGTTCACCTTGGAGTGATTTTCCCAGACGGGAACGGTAGACATGGAAAAGGAACTGAATATCATGCTTTCAATCTTGCCGCCAACACCTGGCAGCTTCACTACTATAGATTAACTAATCAGCTCCAACCAAACTGGGAGCTGGCCAAGAAGGTGTTTGAGCAGATGAATGTTGAGTACACAGCAGTAATGAGAAGATTCAGTTCCCAGGGTTGGGTCTCCATCTGGGATACATCCAAACCTTCAGTTTGGTTGACAGCCTGGTGTATCAGGATATTTCAAGCAGTTTCATTCCAAGATTGGGAGGATTATATTTACATTGATCCGGAAATATTTGGTTCCTCCGTCATGTGGCTGATCAACTATCAAAACATTGAAGGAGCGTTCTCTGAGACTGAATTCTATCCGAACCCTCTGCATAGAGCTATGGATGGGGAAAGTGAAGAAGGAAACCGAAATATCTCTCTCACGGCTCATGTTCTAATTGCTCTGCAAGAGACAGCAGGAAAACTTCAAGGGGAAACTAAAAAATACTCTGCAACCTCAAGACAGAGAGCAGTAAAGTACCTGGAGAGAAATCTACCCAAGATCACGGATCCGTATGATATGGCGATTACAGCTTACGCTCTAGCACTCTCCCGCAGTGCAGAAGCCGATGCTGCCTACGGTAAACTACTTCAAATGAAGAGGGAGGAAGGTGGGATGGTTTACTGGAGCCCATCAAGGATTGTTACAAACACAGTGAGATATCAGTTCAACAGACCTTTCCTAGAGCCTAAAGAGAAACAAACTAATGATGCCCTGGCTGTTGAAGCTACTGGATATGCTCTTCTTACTCTCTTCTTGGTACAAGGTGGAGGAGTAACAATTCTCCAGGATCAGATAGTAGAGTGGTTAAACACGATGAGGTTGGGTAACGGAGGATTTATTGCAACTGTTGATACTATCATAACCCTGGAGGCATTGGTAATCTACAGTTACAACTCAAGGATCAAAGATTTAACAAACTTAAACATTGAAATCGATATTCCAGATTCAAATATAACCAAACATCTCAAGATTAACGGAAATACTGTATCCAACCTTCAGAAAATAGATATTCCTAATGTATGGGGACACATCAATTTCCACGCAACAGGAGCGGGTCAGGCAGTCGCTCAGATGGACATAAACTGGGGAATAGACTACGAACCCTTCAAGGACAATCCTCCGGTTAAATGCTTTAATCTCACAATCTACGAGTCCTTCAGAGGAAGAAACAAGTCCGAGATTGATGTTAGGAGTTGCTTTAGCTGGACTTGTACAGATGAGAGTTCAACCTCGGGGATGACGATGTTAGTCTTGGATATTCCATCCGGTTATATCATGCTACAGGTAATAAATATCCGGGTATATTTTGATACAGATAATGAACATCCGGTATATTACGCTACAGGTAATAAATATCCGGGTATATTTTGATACAGATGAATATCCGGTGTAAGTTTATCATAATAAAAATATAATAAAATATAATACAAGCTTAACTTTTTTAAAATATTTTTTTTTACAACAAAAAATCTCTTCTCTCTAAATATTTATATTTTGTTGATCAAAATCAAAAAATATTTTTTGTACTTGTACGCATGAAATAATATATTTGATGGACAAATTTCAGCACTATTAAGTTTAACTTTTTTTAAAAAATTTTCATAAATATGTACAAAAATCCCCAGAATTATACATACAGGGTTAATCACAAAAGAGGAGACTTCAGAGACGACTTAACAAATTGTATTCCATCGTTTTTTGTTTTGGTTTTTTGTAACATTATACTTTATACATTCTTTGCAAAATCATTTAGTTCACCTATAAAAGTATAGAAAAAAAAAATAAAGCTTCAGTACGACAGAATTAAGAACCATTAGTTCGTCTTTATAGTCTTATCTTTTGTTGGTAACTCTGTAGTATAACTCTAACTTAGATTAAATATTTTTTTATTTTACTTTACAAAAAAAACTGTGAAGAAGACGAATATGGCTTTAAATAGTTCAATTGACAAGTGATTCACTTACGAAAAAATTTTAAAAGTCACAAGTAAAACTATTTGCTTTGTAACAACATCAAATACGATTAATTGTTACTTTAATGTCGTCTTCCTATTCCACAGTTTTCTGGTTCTTACTGTAAAAAAGTATATGAATGATATTTCTAGCCTGATGCGAACAAGATTGTAAGATCAGGAGTAGTTCCAACTCTGAAGGATGCGGATGTAAATAAACCTGGGAAAACTATCTGGTATTTCGAGCACATCATTGCACAAATGCAATGCTTTACTCATACTGTTAGAAGGTAGGTTTATTTTTTTACTCTTAGAGGGACTTTATCCGTAATTTCAAGTTGATAGAGGGGAATGTACGATTAACAACAGTACACTTCTAGATATTTTACAATTCTTACCTCAAAAACAATGGAGAAATCGTAAGAATTAAACACTTTTCAAAACGACCAAAAACGACGTTATCTTCCACAGTATTGATCAGATTAAGGTTTCTAGGGTACCTTCGTGAACATTGTCACTTCAGATCACAACAACAGTCCCTTTATAAACCTTGAAAACCTCGTTGATCTACTTTAAATCGTTAAAATACAAACTACTTTAACTTTTACCTACTCATTGAACTCCTGAAAATCCTCAAAAACTCCTTGAAATTAGTCATAACTTTGAACTAATTAAACTCATTGAACTACTTGAACTAAACGTCCGGGAACTTTATGAACTCCATGAACTACTTGAAAATACTTGAAATGAACTCCATGAACTTCTTAAAATTCTTTAACTGAACTGCATCAACTACTTAAACCAAACTCCTTGAACTACTCTTAAACTGAACTCCTTGAACTCCTTAAACTGAACTCATTGAAATGAACTGCTTCAACTGCTTGAACTCCTTGAATTGAACTCCATGATCTACTTGAACTGAACTCCTTGAACTCCGGGAAATACTTAAACTCCTTGAACTACTTAAACCGAACTACTTGAACTCCTTGAACTGAACTCCATGAACTCCTGAACCCTTGAGCTGAACTGCATGAACTCCTTAAACTCCTTAAACTACTTGAATTTCTGTGTTTTCTAGTTTAAACACTGAACTCATAAAATTCTGAATTACACCAGTGTTTGATCCTCTTCTAATTAATCTCAATTCTATAAACCCACTTAACTTCTTTAATTCACTTTGCACAAAATTACTCAGACTAGTTAATCTTTCAGATATTTGATATAATTAACCGAACACAATTTCTTTAGATACTTTCCTGTTGCAAACCTGACAAGGACGAGACAAGCTGTAATCATAGAACCCTTGAGACCTGAGAAATTCTTCGTTAGAACCTTCAATGCTACTTCATTATATATATTGAGTATCTGTGAAGTTTGTGGTTCCTATCAGTGTCCATACTGTCCGTTCTACTCTTCAGCTCCATCCCTCATCTCTCCCTCATTCATGTTTCTACTCATCATATCCTTGTACCTGACTCTTTCCAACAGAAATAATCTTAGATATTCAAACTAGTTCTTGATCTCCTATTCCTACTCAGCTCAGGAGATGTGAGGATATATTCAAACCAGTTATAGATCTCCTTATTCCACTTAGCTCAGAGGATATAAGGAGATTTCCGCCCAGTTCTAGATCTCCAAGTCCTACTCAAGCTCAGGAGATGTGAGGAGATATTCAAACCAGTTATAGATCTCCTTATTACACTTAGCTCAGAGGATATAAGGAGATATTCCGTCCAGTTCTAGATCTCCAAGTCCCACTAAGATCAGAGGATAAAAGGTAATATTCCATCCAGTTCTAGATCTCCTAATCCTACTCAGCTCAGGAGATATGAGGATATATTCAACCCAGCTATAGATCTCCTTATTCCACTTAGCTCAGAGGATATAAGGAGATATTCCGTCCAGTTCTATATCTCCAAGTCCCACAAAGCTCAGGGGACACCAGGAGACTCTTATCCAGTGATAATTCTTGGCATTTGGTTCGAACCAATTCAATAATTAAAAACAATAAAGATTGACTGAAGTCCAAAGTGTCTGTCTGCCAAATCTAAATGAAAGCTGATTTAAATAATGATGTTGAGAATCAGATTTCAGAAAAATATTTTCAAGAATCTGTTCAAAATTCAAAATATATATTAAAAATTTGGGTTTTCTCTTTCCCTCTTAACTTTGCAACTGTAGACTATAGATCTCAAGCCTGCTTTCTTGTCTCACTCTGGACTTTGGTCACAATCTTTACATTCGTGAAATCCTTCCCTTAAAAACCAAATTATTCGACACTGTAAAATATGATTATGTACTGCACTATGTACGCTAAAGTATTTAAAAGTGTACATAGTAAAATGAAACTGTACCATTGAATGATATGTACAATTATGTAAGTAATGTAAAGAATATTGTATTTGTTGAAATCAACATCAAAGAAATTGATGAGTTTGGAAGAAAAAACTCCACTTTTTTATATTTGTTAAAATTATCTTAACCTAAATATATTTTTGTATTCTCGTAAACGATAGTTTAGAAGATATGGGAGGTTCTTAAAGAGACTCCAGAACATCATTCAACTCTGAGATATCCTTCTTTTTTCATGGAGCAAGGAAATTTAATGAGATATCCTTCTTTTCATGGAGCAAGGAACTTTAAAATGAAATAAGTTTAACTCATTTTCTCCAATATGAGAGATTATTCAAGCTCTTTCAGGGCAAAGGAATTTAGTCTTTTTCTCAAACTGTGATTTCAGAAGAAGACTCAAGACTCTATATCTTTGCAACCCAATACCGTAGACCTTAGATCTTACAAACTATGAATTTTGTTAGATAAAAGAATCTAAGTTTGTAATATCAAAGGTTTACACCAGCAGGTGGAAAAATATAGGGATTAAAAGAAATTACATCATATCTTTGCAACACGATGTCGGAGACCTTTGAGATTTCAAACTATGAATTCTCTCAGATCAAGTATTCGTAGTTTTAAATATCATAGGCTTGCACCACCAAGTTGCAGAGATCTAGGGACTAGAAACTTTTGAATTTGTGGCAAAAACTCTTTTCCTTTTTAAATAAACATTTCCCAATTGTCCTTACCGTAGCAAACCTAACTGTCTTTTTAGGAATATGGTCTTTTGGAATAAGAATTGTTTGTTTAAATATTAATGGGAAAGTTTCATATTATCAGAACATCTCATGAAATCCTGTCACAAGAAAATTGAGAGAAAAACTCAAACTGCGACATTTTTTTCTCGGTAAATTAATATATATTTTTATTGACTAAATACCGCAACTCGGATTCGATTTAATGATCTTGGATAACGTTACAATGAGCTGTATGTAATCGTTCATGGCATTCTTTAATTGGGCAATCTTTAAAAAGTTTTCTTCACTCAATTAATTAATTCTTGATAAAACAAAAAGCTTGAAACTGCAATTTTTACTGGGCTCTTCGCGCTCATCTTCTATTTCAATGGAAAATGTTCTCTTTGTATACATTGTAAAACAAAAACAAACTAAAAAGTTTGCGGATTTAAAAAAAATACGTTGATTTTCAAAATTTAATGAAAATCGAATTTTGTTGGAAGCCAATTTTAAAATTTTTTATCATTCATATTCCTGAAAATTTGGGCCCGATCATTCAGTTGACGTTTATTGGATTGAAACAAACAGACAAACAACAGACAAGCAAAGTAAATGTATAGAAAATTGTGAATCTATTTTTACTAAAAGAATGTTCACTAAGAATTAATACTGTTCCCTTCCCTTTTACTAAGAATTATAATTAATGATAAATAATGATTTTCATAATTATCTTTTTTATTCTATAATTAAACTTTCTTGTATGTTTGAAAGGGACTGTAAACGTAATTTCAAGCAAACCTCCATGTGCAAAGATGACAATGTCCGATTTACAACGGTACCCGGTAGCCCTTGACTTTTTATCGAGGCCAGACAACTCAGTGTGTTTATCTCTCAAATAGTGTTTGAATTGTCGGTAAACGAATATGTGTACTACGCTCGAGCACAATTAGAAACTCAACTCAGCTCACGTTACGTGTACACCTAGAAAATCCAGAATATTTGTTTAAACCGGGGTTTAAAAGTTCAAATGTAAATATTCGAATGTAAATATTCATTTTCTTCGACTTCTGTAAATTGTAAATATTAATATTTAATTAGCATAAAACAGCTTGGAAATCAAGTGTTTAAGATTAAGAATGATAAGTCCGACATCCTTGATCAGGGTTAAAGGGTACTGGTGTGAATCTAACACACCACTCTACAAATGAAAGATTACTTAAAATCACGCCTACTGTCCCTTTAACTTAAAGCAATTGGTGTAACGTAAATAAGGAAAACAGTTGAAAGCCATTAAGCGGGCTGAGTTTTGCTGACTTATCCCTGATATTGTGAAATTCTATTTGAATATTTTAAATCATAAAAGGTTTTAAATTTCTCTAGAAATGAACATTTTTAATTATTTTTCTTACTAAGGAAAGGAATCCAGATAACCTACAATAGTTAAATTAGTTGTCGGAGAGAAAATAACAATTAACTGTTTTCCCAAAGTTTAGGCAATGACTATAAATAAATATTTAACATTAAAGAAAGAAGGGGGGGGGATCCTAGATTTAGTAACATTCTTCCTCAATCAGTACTTTTTTCATGTCTGTTTTGAAATGAAAGCATTATATTTTTTCCTATCTTATACTTTACTAGCTGATGGTCTTAATGAATACAAATTGTGCGTGTAATGAATACAAACTGTGCGTGTAATGAATACAAATTGTGCGTGTAATGAATACAAATAGGGAGTGTAATGAATACGAGTTGTGCTTGTAATGAATACTAATTGTGCGTGTAATGAATACAAGTTAAGAGAGTAATGAATGCAAATTGTGTGCGTACTGAATGCAAATTGGGCCTGTATGTGGTTTGTTTTAGAGAGAAAACCCTAAGCAGTATATAGGAATAAACGAGATCTACTGTTTTTTAAATTATTTTAACGGTTTGTGCTTGGTCATGTTTTAAAATGTATCTCATAATTTCCACATGGTTTTTTTATATTTATAATTCAATAATTATAATTTTTTGGCGTTATAATGGAGTTTTATATTCTTTTATAAGAAAGCTGAGCAAATGATTTTTTTGCGCCATATTCGTTATACATTCGTCTGGTGAATATTTGGTAGATATTTGGTATAGGTGCATTCTGTGAATATTTGGTAAACATTCATCCGGTGAATATTCAGTTTACATTCGTTCAGTAAATATTTGGTATACATTCGTTCGATGATCATTTGGTGCACATTCATTAAATATTCGGTTTAAATTTGGTGAATATTCGATATAAATTTGCTCGATGATTCGGTGAATATTCGGTATACATTCATATGGTGAATATTCGGTATAATTCTTTCAATAATTATTTGGTGTTCACTCATTAAATATTAAGTGTGCATTTTGTGAATATTTGATATAAATTCGGTAGATGATTTTTCGGTGAATAATCGGTTTACATTCGTGCAGGCGGGGATTATTTGGTGTGCATTCGGTATATATTCAGTATACATTCGTTAAATATTCGATATAAATTCGGTCGGTGATTCTTAGGTGAGTTATGTGAGTAAACTCAGGAAAAAATTAATATACATATAAAATCGGTACATATTTGATTAATATTCGGCACAATTTTTATAAATATTTGGCAAATATTTGGCACATATTTGACGAATATATGGCATATGTTTGATGAATAGTCGGCACATGTTTGATGACTACATATTCGGCACGTGTCTGATAAATATTTGGCACATGTTTGCTGAATTTTCGGCACATATTTTATAAATATTTGGCACATATTTGATGTAAAAGTATAATATAAATATATGGGGTAAATTCTAAATCTCTATTATGAAGTTTAAAATCCTCGAAATGGTTATTTCCTGTGCAATTTTACCTTGAAAAGAATATAATAAATTATTGGCCTTATCAAATCTACTGCAGTTTGCACACACCAGAGCTTTTACATTAAAACTAAAGGGAAAAAATAGAGTGGTTTGCGTTTATATCAATACAATGAAGACGACTTCTTATTTATCATGCGTCGATCCCCATGACGAGCGTTTATCAAATTGCGAGTTTACATTGAAAACATAGAGGTGTTCATTGACAACTTCTCTTGTTTTACATGTTTATGTGTCTCTGCTGTTTGACAAGCTTAGAAGAAATAAAAATAGAAATGTTATTGATATATACGTCGATGGCTGTACAAAATACTTTGTGTATTAGTTTGTTGGTGTAAGTTAAGTTTGTTGAATGTAATCCATCCAACAAATATCTAGGGAAATTCTTGAGATAATTTAGGGAAATCCAATCAGCCTCATAGCTGCTAAGTGAGATAAACTGAGCGGAGATATTATTTTATCTCGTATTCCGGGAATTTGGATAATCTCTCAATGAGGAGAAAACGAGATAAACTAATTCTATTCAAAAGGTCTCTGCTCGATTTTTTTTATATATTTATATAGTTTATGTACAAAGATAGAATTTATTTGATCCAAACCAATTCCATGTATAGATTATCTTCTCAACAAAACCTTCATATTTGATGCGTAGAATCCGTTCTTGAAGGTTAGGTTCCGTTCTTGATAGTTAGAATTCGTTCTTGATAGTCAGAATCCCTTCTTGATAGTTAGAGTTCGTTCTTGACGCTCAGAATCCGTTTTTGATAGTTAGAATACGTTTTTGATAGTTAGATTCCGTTCTTGATAGTTAGATTCCGTTCTTGACGCTTTGAATCCGTTCTTGATAGTTAGATTCCGTTTTTGATAGTTAAATTCCGTTCTTGATAGTTAGAAATCAGTTCTTAAAAATTAGATTACGTTCTTGGTAGTTATAATCCGTTCTTGGTAGTCAGAATCCGTTCATAATAGTTAGAATTCGTTCTTGATAATTATAATTCGTTTTTGACACTTAGAATTCGTTCTTTATAGTTAAAATTCGCTCTTGATAGTTAGAATTTGTTCTTGATAGTTAGAATTCGTTCTTTATAATTAGATAACGTTCTTGATAGTTAAAAGCCGTTCTCGATAGTCAGAAACCGTTCTTGATAGTTAGAATTCGTACTTAACGCTTAGAATCCGTTCTTAATAGTTAGAATCCGTTCTTAATAGTTGTATTCCATTCTTGATAGTTAGAATCCATTCTTGGTAGTCAAAATTTGTTCTTGGTAGTTAGAATCCGTTTGCTTGTTAGAATCTGTTCTTGATAGTTATAAATCCGTTCTTGACAGTTAGAATCCGTTCTTGATAGTTAGAATCAGTTCAGTGTAGGTAAAATCCGTTCTTGATAGTTAAAATACGTTCTTGATAGTTAGAATCCGTTCTTAATAGTTAGAATCCGTTCTTGATAGTTAGAAATCAGTTCTTAAAAGTTAGATTACGTTCTTGGTAGTTAGAATCCGTTCTTGATAGTTAGAATTACTTAGATATCAATCTTTATACTAAGAATTTGTTCCCGATGTGTACCTGAAATCCGTTCTTGAGACCTGAATCATTTTTCCTAATTCGTTCTTGATGCCTAGAATACGTTCTTAATACTTATCTTCAGTTCTCAATATATCAGACTTCGTCCTTGATAATTAGAATCCGAATGTTTAACTTAGAATCCATTCTTGATACCTTGTTACCTCGTTTTTAATTCATTGATTTGTTCTTAATATGCTTTGAGAATCCTTATTTAGGCTTCATTATTTATACTTAAAATTTGTTCATTGATCATGAAAATTGCATCATTATTCTCAATATGCTTAGAATGTGTTCTTAACACCTAAAATCAGTTCTCAATATGCTTAGAGTCTGTTCTTCATTCCTTGAATCCGAATGTTTTACTTCGAATCCATTCATTGATGTTTTGAATTTTTTAATTTTTTAATAAGGTTTATTATATTTTACGTCTAATCGTATTCACATGCAATGTTTGATCCTCAGAAATTAAAATGTCTTTTTAAATTTTATTCTGCTGCGCAATTTGAGAATTTATAAATAAAATTCAAAGTCTCCGAATGTTTATTTTAACCCCCACCCCCTTCCTTATCATATAAATATTGCAAATTCGCAAAAAATGACGACTCTGCGAACATACATATTTTTTCTTAAGCTATGGATTACAATAAGACCGAAAGATCGAGCATGGGAATAAACATGGGAATTTAGTGACTAGTCTTTGTTCTACGCGGTATTATTTCGTAAACTAAAACTACTACTGTTTTGATATTCGCCCCTACCTGCTGTTTAATGAAGATATTGAGTTGCCAGCCCAACCATTCTCATAGGATCTAACCCAGGTGGATCTAGATAATATATGTTTATAGATACATTATTATCATAGGATCTAACCCAGGTGGATCTAGATAATATATGTTTATAGATATATCATTCTCATAGGATCTAACCCAGGTGGATCTAGATAATAGATGTTTATAGATGCATCATTAAAGATTAGAAGGGAAGGAAACACGAAGGAGAAGGAATAGAAAAAGGAAGGAAAAGGTAGGAATACAAGAAGGACAAGAGAAAAGGATAAGGGGAGTAGAAAAGGAAAGGATAAAGGAAGGAAAAGAGGATAAGTTAAAGGAAGGAGAAGATGATAGTGTAAAAGAAGGAGAAGAGGAAAGGATAAAGGAAGGAAAATAGGAAAGGAAAGGAGAAAGGAAAAAGAAGAGGAAAGGATAAAGGAAGAAGAAGAGGAAAGGATGAAGAAAGGAGAAGAGGAAAGGATGAAGAAAGGAAAAGAGGAAAGGAAATGATAAAGAAAGGTAAAGAGGAAAGGAAAGGATAAAGGAAGATCTGGAAGAATATAACTATGATGTATAGTGTATACCTACGAGATGGTGTATGGGCTCCATGTCCTGGAACTGCTAAAGACATGGAGAAGTGTGGGGACTGAGACCACTGGCTAGCCTGCCTAGTAGGGCGTATCCTGGATCCTCCGCCCCCCTGGTTAGACAAGCTGCCCTGCCTGACCGGCCCAGGTAGAGGAGTAGTTAAACTACCTTGATGCTGAACCCGTTGCCTGAAGTTCATAGCTAAACCAGGCAGATTTCTAGGAACAGTATCCAGACCTAAACAAAACAAATTATAAAGGACCAACTCACCGATATTTTATTCATCGATTTGACTGATAGCCGAGTTTACTAATATTCAATTGAACTAAGGTCAGCTGTTTACAAACCGGTTTTTAATCTATTTGAACAATAGTGCTTATGAACAAAAAAATATTATTTTCAAATGAACTAATTAAAATTTTAAAAAATTAAATTTAAACACTCGCCGCGGCACTCGGCCTCCTAGCCTGTCCTAGCCGCAGCGCTCGGACTAGAAATTGTCGTAACCTAACCGAATCTTCAAATATTAAGATTAAATCATAATTATTTTTTTTTGTAGAAATACTTTTAAAAAATAGGTTCAATCGAACAAATATTTGTTCAACAGGACATTATGGTCCTTTTGAACTTTAGTCAAATGAAGATTAGTTCAAACGTAACTTAGTCTAATCGATATGACACTATTCATCCAGCTCACCCAAGCCACTAGGGTCAAATAGGGCCCAAACAAGATATCAAATATCGAGCTTGTAATGGAGTCTCTTATGCGCTTAATAATTAAATGGGACTTGTCATCGTAAATTGTTACGTGAAATATTTTTATTTGTATGAACATAACGTTTCTGCAATCTTCAGATATACTGATTGGTGGATTCTTTAACTCTTTAAGATGTTTTATAAAAAGACATTAAAGGGACTGTACCTAAAATTATGTTTACCAGAGATACCAACTCAAAAATATGCTTGATGTTAAATCCAAACCAAACGTATTCTGTGAGGTAAATGACGTCAAAGTACATCATTAAGCGTCACTATCTATCTATTTTTAAACCTTGTTTCAATATCACTTTTCCTACTTTTCAGTAGATTATTATTAATCCATACAATTAAATTTATTTGCATTTATAACATGCTTTTATATGATTAAAAATTTGAAGAATAGAGTGGTACAATTTCAGCTCAATTCCGGAACGACAGATTTTTTAACTGCGATACATTATATGCAATTAAAAATTTAAAATATAGATTACATACTTAGCAAAAAACATGCAACCTTTTTGAAACAAAATATAATCACACTTTTTGATTAGATTGATTTAAGGTTATTTCAGAAAAAACAACAGATTTTTTTAATCTTATCATAATATTTTCTCGTTGATCTCGTGTTGGTGGAATCTCTATAGAAAGAGAGAAAGGTTAATCTCTAGCGAGGAGATTAAACTCACTTCATCAATTCAAAAGTTCTCAGCTTATTTTGATGCGGATCCGGATCCAGGTTTAATCCGGATTCTGATATATGACATTTAATCAGTTTTTAACTTTAATAATTTATTTTAATTAAATTTTACAATATTTTAAAATTTTAATATGATATCAGATGGAAACATTTTGAGACTTCTATATTTCTTGTTTTTAATCCTTTCTTCTTGATCTTCCATTCCTTGTCCATCCTTCAATCACCCTATGGCTAATTTTGAAAATAAAAATAAATGAATTTTTTGGATGTTTTCTGCAGCTAGCCAAATTGCAGAGGTAGAACTATTTTTTGAAGCCCTGTATCTATATTCTATATATTGAGAGTGACAAGGTTACTCTTCCCCTTGTTTATATTTAAATTTTGCTTCAGTCATGATACTGTGTCGAGTCAGCTACTGCATTCCTAGCTTTTCTTGGAGGGGGAGAGGGGTGAGGGGGGCATTTTCCACATTTTCCAGTTTTTTGTATCTTGAGTAGGACATAGAGGGGGGGATGGGACGTCTGCCATCCTGTGTATTCCCCTTCTAATTTTTCCTGTTCTTCTTTCTTGTTTATCTTGCTTTAAGCACCCATCTCTACTGTCAAGAGATTTCCTTTCCACTTTTCTCTGTTCAATTTATTTTTTTTCTTGCTTCTTGTTTCTTGTTTTTACATAAGGCCTTCCCAAATAGTTCTTTTAACATCGAGTTGTGGAGCAGGTAGGAATGAGATAAGGAGGTTTGTAGGAAGAAGGATATAGGGGATTTCTCCCTGTGTTCCTTCATTTTATACTGTTTCCCAGTTAGGGGAATTAAGGAATTTGCCCATAACTGCACCCCATATGCAAAATGGGGAGTTGTGATCCCTGAAAGCTCTCTTGAGAGGTATCTTCCATAGTAGTCCAGTCCTCACATCTGATCGAGTAAAAAACCGGTATCGTTGTGCATGGCTTGTATTCCCACGAGGGGTTAAACTCCTCTTTCAGTGAAGCAAGCTGAAGATGAAGTTTTGTTTTAATCTATGTACAATTCTTGCTTCCCCTGTAGGATACTAGATGCGTAACTAAACACAGCGCTTCCCCAGCTGCAATTCTGGGAATGCATAGTAGGTCCGGTCCGTTCTGCTAGACATTTAATCAGTAAATATCAAACTAGTTCTTGTTCTGCAATTTCATTGAAAATTTTATAGAAAAGTGAATATTTTTTAATCACTAAAAATCTAGAAATCAATAATATTTATAATTATTTATAAGTCTTTAATTTTACTTTACCAGGACAAACTGTTAATTAGAATATAAAATTTATATTTATAATATATATATATATTATGCCGATAAGCAATTAAAAACAGCATTTTTTACTTAATATCTATATTATTAAGCTCTTCGCTCATATATATTTGTATATATATATAATTTATTTTTCTACACAAATTTGAAATTTTTTTTCAAAAATCAAATTTAAAAAATTCCTTGTGCAACCCCGGCGCTACAGCAGCAGTACATTATAAAAACATAACCATGTAAGATTTCGTAGATTTTTCTGTTCTTAATGGGGGATTTTTCAAAAATATAATCTAAATTATTTTCAATTCATTTGGTTCTATATAGATTGTTTGTTTATGTCAACTAAATGTCAAAAAGCCGGAACCGATCGGGACAAAACTTTTTGTGGTAACTCACTTGACCCATATTACCCTATGACTTGCCCTAGGAAGGTTTTTAAAAATTAAAATTAAAATTAAAATTAAAAATTGAAATTTTTTGGCTTATAACAATTTTGATTTTTTAAGAATTTAGGAAATCTTCCAAACAAAACAAGATTCTCTGCGTGCATGTTGATTTCAAAATTATTAAAAAGGCTTGAAGAAAGGTCAACAACAAAAAAGTAGGATTATTGTCGGAAAGATGGTTGGTGATTCTTGTCAAAATGTGGTAAATTTTACATATTTCAAACTATAAATTCTGTTAGGTCAAATAATCTTAGTTTGTAATATTACAGACTTACCCCATCAGGTTTCAAATATATAAGTATTAGAAAATTTGAGTTTGGAGCGGAGTATTTTTCAGCACTGGATCCAGATCAGAAGCTGAACAAGAACAAAATCTAATTTAACTTTTTTTTTTTTTGGGGGGGGGGGTTATGGGAAATCGGATTAAAATAAATATTCTCAAAGTTAACATACGCTTTGTAAAATTTTAAATTGAATGAAGTATTTTTACATTTATTTTCAGCATACAGTATTTCATACTTGAAGGAGCATTTATACACCATTTGTTTTATTTATGTCAATTTATGCTTCTTCAATAAATAAAAATATATCTTTCTTTGTTTGCAATAAAAATTTGTTTATTTAAAATTTGTCAACAAATTTTAGGTATCGAGGAACCAGTGATACGGCGCTTTCAGAGGTGTTTCAAGTGATGTTAGGTATACTTTCCAAAAAGCCACCCAGTAGCAACTTCCCAAGGGTATATTCCCAAGTGGCAACTTCCCAACTGTGCAATTACCCAATCTTGGTAACTTCCCAAGTTTGTTTTAGCCGCAGCGCTCAGCCGCCCATCCTAGCCGCAGCACCCGGCCCCCCAATGCAAACCTAACCTTTGGGAAGTTGCCGCTTGGGAAATCGCACATTTGGGAAGTTGATACTTGGGAAATTGTCACTTGGGAAGTCGCCCTTGGGACAGTATTCTACGTCTTTCAGGCCCCAACGAATGCGGAGCTCCCTCCCCCTCCCACTCCTGGAAAGAAAAGAAAATTTAAGCCCCTCCTCTGGAAAAATTCCTGAGTTGGCCCCTGATTTTAATCTGTAAAAAATATGCACAAAATGCTGAAGTACAGGACGTGAAGCAAAACAACATATTTTTAGTGTTACTTGTCATTGTAAAATTGAATAAAACTATACCTACACAATTTGAGTAATGGTCAAAAACGTGATTTGGTCGAAGCACGTGACAAGTTAAACTGTCAAACTGGCGGACGCTGAACTTTGATGGAGGAAAGGAATAAAACAAACAAGATCTGTCTTACCTTCAGTTTTATCATGAGAATCATGTTTTCCAATATTATTGCTAGAAAGTGAGGAATTAGATAATTACTGTTTATAGTGTAAACAAATGCAAAGTGACTTGTTCCAGGCTGTATTTAATTAGGTTGCTGTCACAAACTATTTACTAGGAAATATTTCAGTATGTATTCACAGTTTTGATCCTTAACATAATTCTATATAAAAACATTTCTATGTTGAGTGAGGACCAGAAAAACTGTAGAATGACTGTCGTCTTTATTCATCCTTTTACATTAAAAATGTCGTTTAAAATTGGTAAGTTGTGGATACATTTCTGGAAATCTTCAGGGCTTCAGTAGCAAAACACAAGAAACCCAAGCGAAATTTCTGATAGGGACTAAAATTATGCATAATTTCAAGAGACCCTCCGACCATACATTATAGAGGAAAATGCCCCACCCACAACGGTACCCTAGAGACAATAATGTGGAAGATATCGTCGATTTCCTATGTTGAAAAGTTTTTATTTCTTATAAAGATCTCTTATAGAAAACTCCAATTGAACATTAGATTTAAATAAGAAAAACATAGAAAGCTTATTTTCTTGATCGATCAACCCTTTAAAGTTTACAGAGGAATCGCACATGCCATTCTATAAATGGAGGGTCACTTGAAATTACGCTTACAGCCCTTTAAGTAAAAGAAAAAAGATTAAATCTAAAAAAGAATATTTTTCCAACACAGTTCTTTTCTTTCAAGTATGAAATAAAAATTTTAAATTCCCTCTAGTAAAAATTTCAATAAAAATTTCAATAGAAATTTGGAAAAAACGAAATTCAAAACCTCCATGGGTCTTCCGTATTTATTACTGTCTGTTAAACGGTTACAAGGTTTGAAACTTTAAACGATCCGTTTTTAACATTTTAAACGGTTAAAAAAATACACATCAGAGTTAGATGACATTACCTCTTTTTTTTTTGGGGGGGGGAAGACCAGGAACACGACATTAACCCATCAGGATATTTGTTTGGAAAAATGCAGTTTGATTTTCTGAAAAGGGAAAATTGTCTGAAAATATGACGTCTTTATATGCAAAGAAGAATTTATCCGAATTTTTTCAAAATCTTAAAAACTTTTTTATTTGTTGATAAAATACTGTAGAAGTAAACAAAAATATCCAGTACAGAGAATAAGATGGAAGCATAGACTTAATAGGTGAACAATCCCTTTATATATATTCAAATAGGTGAACAGTCCCTTTAAACATATTCAAATATGTGAACAATCCCTTTAAGCATATTCAATTAGATGAACAATCTCTTTAAGCATATTCAAATAGGTGAACATTCCCTTTAAACATATTTAAATAGATGACCAATCTCTTTAAGCATATTCAAATAGGTGAACAATTCCTTTAAGCCTATTCAAATATGTGAACAATCTCTTCAAACATATTCAAATATGTGAACAGTCCCTTTAAACATATTCAAATATGTGAACAATCCCTTTAAACATATTCAAATAGGTGAACAATCCCTTTAAACATATTCAAAAATAAAGTTATAAAAACTCTTGTCCAACTTGAACAGATGTCTGTCTCTATAATAAAACTTTAAACTACAAAATGGATGCTTAGAACTCAAAAAAAAATTTATTTGAAGAAATAACAATCATAAAAATACATTTTTTGATAATTTGTAAGCTTAATGGTTACGAAGATTTGTCTGAAATTCATTAAAAATTAATTCAGTTTTTTTAAATAATGAACCTGATTTTGTCCTAAGTAATTATAATTTTCTCTCGAAATTATTCAATATTTTGTAAGAAAACTTACAGACAAAATAGACAAAAAAGACAAAATAGACAATATGGTGTTGCAAAGATAAAGCCTTAATTGGAATACAGATATATCTTCAAATAGATCTGAAATGCATTGAATAAATTGCAAATAAATTTTGATATTTAGGATGGAAAATATTGTAAATAAATTCTTGATATTTAGAATCAACGACAGAATATTTAGAAGTATTTTCTATATTTTGTAAAGGAAAAAGGTTTTACAGATAAAAAGGCTAGCTAAATGGTATGGTATAGTTAAATGACCGGCCCGGCTGCAGAGGTCAGAATTGCTGAATCCTGTTTTCTAAAAAGTAGTTGATAATGTACGATAATTGTTAATACTTATCTCACAGCAATAGCTTTTCTTCAGTTTTATTAATCAAATAATTGTTTGAAAGAAGGAAAACTTGCGCGCTGCTATTGGCAAGGGCGGGGGGGGGATGTCTTCTATTTTATTAAGGCTTTTGAGACATTTCTAAAATGTCCCTGATTTAAATCCAGACACAGCAGGAATAAATATTTAGCTGATGAACCTTCATAATGTTTATTCAGTATACTGCATCACAAAGCTGGGTGGGAGGGTTAGGAAGAGAAAGCTGAGTAGGAAGGTTAGGAGAAGAAGGATAAGTAGGAAGGTTAGGATAAGAAGGATGAGTAGAAAGGTTAGGAGAAGAAGGAGGAGAAGTAGGAAGGTTAGTATAAGAAGGATGAGTAGGTTGGTTAGGAGGAGAAGGATGAGTAAGAAGGTTAGAAGAAGTAGGAAGGGTATGAGAAGTATTAGTAGGAAGGTTAGGAGGAGGATGATGAGTAAGAAGGTTAGGATGAGAAGGAGAAGTAGGAAGGGTAGGAGGAGAAGGTGAAGAAGGAAGATTAGGAGGAGAAGGATAAGTAGGAAGGTTGCAGATGAAGAATGAGACGGGAGGTTAGGAGGAGAAGGATCAGTAGGAAGGTTATAAAAAGAAGTATGAGTAGGAAGGTTAGGAGGAGAAGGATGAGTAAGAAGGTTAGAAGTAGGAAGGGTAGGAGGAGAAAGATTAGTAGGAAGGTTAGAAGGAGGATGATGAGTAAGAAGGTTAGGATGAGAAGAAGAAGTAAGAAGATTAGGAGAAGAAGCACAAGTAGGAAGGTTGGAGAAGAAGGATGAGAATGAAGGTTAGAAGGGGAAGGATGAGTAGGAAGGTTGGAGAAGAAGGATGAGAATGAAGGTTAGAAGGGGAAGGATGAGTAGGAAGGTTGGAGAAGAAGGATAAGAAGGAAGGTAAGAAAGAGAATGATGAGTAGGAAGGTTATAATAAGAAGGATGAGAAGGAAGGTTAGAAGGAGAAGGATGAGTAAGAAGGTTAGGAGGAGAAGGATGAGAAGGTAGCTTAGAAGGAGAATGATGTTCTTTGTGAAAGTTAAATTTTTAAAATAAAGTTTTTATCATTTTTATGTGAACCAGGATGGAAATGAAATTATTTTAAATCCTTGAATCTTATAAATTAACGAACCAAACAGTAAAACCTTGTGTTAACCTATAGTGATGGTAGATGTAGTATTCCTCCCCAAACTTCCCTCAAACTCCAAGCTTTTTGGCTGATCGCCTATTTCTATGGCCAATTATTAAATACGCATTTATGAAGCAACAATAAATAATATTTGCGATATCCTCTTGCACTTTTTGCCGTCGAACGTCTGTAAGAATACTATTTAACTTACTCTTGCGGCTTTAAAAGTCGGTCCGGCACTGAACTGGAGCTTTCAACGCCTTGAACTTTTCAGTTTGGACCACTTTTTATAGATTGTGAATGGAATTAAGCGAATGTGAGACTCTAATTCAAACTCTATCTGCTAAATAGTTGCTCTAAATGAATATACTATTTAAGTGTATGTAAATGATTTGATAGAAAGTATGCCAAGTGTACAACTGCTCCAAACCAAAAAAGTCTGTCAAGATATTTGAAGTTTTTGTTCTTGCAATAAATAGCATGAAATTGTAACATTTTTTAATACCTTATTCATAACACATAAAAATGTTGAAAATGTAACGTAATGTAAAATTTTTGTGTTTTTATTCATTGATTTTATTTATGATCTTTTTAAATTAGCATTTTCTTTTTTCCTATGGTATACATTGCCAAATCTTGAATCTATTGGTATTCAACTGTTGCAAGGTGCTCAATATTGCAAGTTGGCATCAAGAGTTCGGACGTGCCAATAGATTTTATTTACAATTTGTACTTAAATGTAGTTTAAATAAAGTTTAAACTAGATAAAGAAAAAGTAATGTTAATAATGTTTGTAATCATAGTAATAACTTTCAAAACAAAAAGATTTAATCCCAGATTACAGTAATACTTTTGCATCCTTATAAAGCCTAAAGTATTCAAAACCTATTTTGAAATAAACGTTCTTTTGTTAAATATATCTAGGGATTCAGGAAATTAATTTTCTAATAAATGAAGAATAGTAATATTTGTTTATCTAAACTTGCTTTATCTTTAGTGGAATCTCATTATGTGAGAGACTGTTTCATGATTGTTTAAAAAAGTATAACTACAAAACTAACTTGTTTCATAGGGTTCTTATATCCTGTGCTGAAAACTTTAGAATGGTGGATATTGAGATCAATGCTTGATCTCCTCTTTTTCTTAATCTCCAGATTAAATAATGCTTGTTCTCCATTAATCTCCAGATTAATTAACAGATCGGGATTAAGGATATCTCATTCTAAAGTTTCCAGCTGGTCAAATTAATCTACTAACCTGTATTATAGGGTTCTATACTGGTTGTATTAATCCACTAACCTGTATTATAGGGTTCTATTCTGGTTGTATTAATCCACTAACCTGTATTATGGGTTCTATTCTGGTTGTATTAATTCACTAACCTGTGTTATAGGGTTCAATCCTGGTTGTATTAATCCACTAACCTGTATTATAGGGTTCAATCCTGGTTGTATTAATCCACTAACCTGTGTTATAGGGTTCTATCCTGGTTGCATTAATCCACTTACCTGTATTATAGGGTTCTATCCTGGTTACATTAATCTACTAACCTGTATTACATGGTTCTATCCTGGTTGTATTAATCTACTAACCTGTATTATAGGGTTCTACCCTGGTTGAATTAATCTACTAACCTGTATTATAGGGTTTTACCCTGGTTGAATTAATCTACTAACCTGTATTACATGGTTCTACCCTGGTTGGACTAGACAGTCTACTAGTTGGGTTCTCTCTAGGTTTCATCTCTAGTCTGAGCAAGATTCAGGAGTAATTTTCTCAACTTGGTTTTTACTTCTCATCATGTTCACATCACTTGTTTGGTCTTAGAGGTTTCCTCTTTCAAGTGTATTCAAGTGTATTTGAGGTTTTACAGGTGTAGAGGTTTCAGAGTTACAAGTTCAAGGGTTTCCTATAATTCTTCTTCACTATTAAAACTGTTCCTTGTCACTACCTTTGGACTTTTCATGTACATACATTATATAGATCATAAACCTGAAGGTAACCAAAATATGTACACTCATAGTCATATAAGGGTTTCCTCAAAAGAAGAGATATTACACGGACATTTTATATTTTGAAGCTGTTTGGCTTGTTCTTTTTTCTTCAGTATTTACAATATATTTTCGGAATTGTTTTTATTATATCCACACAATTTAAGTTTATTCCAGTCGTAAATTATTTATTTATTTATCAATATCTAGCTTCATTTAATCCATCGTAATATCCAGTATCTAAGGAGAAGAGAACTAAGAAATGAAAGAGGGATAAGGTTTGTTTACACCGCACCCCACTCTAAAATTCTGGATGCCGGTACAACATCTTATGCATTCAGTCGTACCGTAAAGTCTGGCCTACCCAGTGTAGAGCAGACCCAGCACGTTTTATAGAACAAAAGCAGCCTGGCAAGCTATAGTGACGTATTATGAGCGGAAGTGTCTATTTTTTATTTTTATTTATTATATATTCAAATATTTCAGTTAAAGTACATGAGTTCAGATTTAATTTTAGTTTAACTATGTAATCATTTCAATTCAAAATTAACTGAGGAGGAGCAAGTGCCACCCCCCCCC